TTGATACACAAACCTCAAATCTTCCTCTGCGCTGGTTTTCCTCCAATTTATTTTGATGCGAATTATGACGTGTTGACATAAAAACGATCAGGGGCAACTTGCAACTTGCTGTTTTAATTCAGACATTATGCAATAAATTCCTTTGCTTGTTTGAAGCTGGCAGGTTTAATAAATAATGTGGTTTTGAACATTTTTGAACCAGTAAAACTTCCCTTTTGTTAACTGATCTGACAGTGAACATCTATAAGACCTGGATGGAGAGCCAGGAAGTATCTGCATCGGTATTTTAATGGGCTTCATCTAAATCTCTCTGTCAAAACTCCTCAGCCTGAATTCCAGTCGCAGAGAAAAAACAACAGACGTCAAGGTGACGTCTGTTGTTTTTTTCTTCCTGTAAGGTCAGATGCCAGTTGAGTGAATTCAGGTCAGGGAGTTTCTTGGTATTCGTTCCTCTTCCATCCTCCACCCACTGAGACAGGTGAGCACCCCAGAGGCTACAGAGGAGGTGGTTTTTGGGTGGGGGGTTGGGGGGGTGGGGGGGGTTACCCAAATGTTTACACATGGTGTGGGTCCTCCTAATCCTCCTCTAAAGCCTCAGGCAACTTACCCACGACCTTCTGAGACACTATGAAGATGCACACTGACAACATGGCTTACGGTCACACAAAGCTATAACACACACACACACACCTGAATGAGTGTGTTTGTGTGTGTGTGTGTGTGTGTGTGTGTGTGAGAGATGCTATCAGCCTTTAAATGAAGGAGACAAGCCGAGCGAGGCCTTCCCTGACCTCGTCTCGCTCAGCGCCAACAGGAAGGGACAAACAGCAATCTCTCATTTAAAAGCCTGAAAAAATGGCGACCATCTCACACGTAAACGCCAAGACTTTTGGACCTTTAACCTCCCGCTCCCCCTCCCCTCCCCGCTTCGCTTCACTCTGCCACCATAACAACTGCAGTCAGATAAGCTGAAACAGAGCAGAGACGCACAACCTCGACAGTAAAAGACACAAAGGAGCTATTGACAAACTTATGGAAATAACCAGATCTAATTATGGTGCTTTGTCATAAGTCACAAAAGCTACGGAGCTGATGGAGGAGGCCGAGGATCCAACACACAGTAAATCCAGAAAATCTCATAATGAGTACCTCCTGACACACCGCGGTGATCCGTGTGCAGCGAGATCCTAAGAAAAGGAGTTGCTGATTCAGGATTTTCTTTTGGCAGGTTACATGAACATATGAAAAGTTAAATCCGGCACATTTTAAGCCACAGAGAGAGAGAGAGAGAGAGAGAGAGAGAGAGAAAGAGAGAGAGAGGACAACATGCAGCAAAGGGCCACAGGTCGGACCTGGACCTGGGACCTGGCAGGTGCTCCACCAGGTGAGAATATTTCTTGACCTTGATGGATCACGGTGATCAAAACCTTCAAAAACACGCCTCACTCTATCCTCAAAAACAAAAATCTTTTACAAACAACTCGACATGAGTCAGTTTCATGAACAATTTCTCCAACAACATGTGGAATAATCCGGACAGGGTGGGGAGCTTTTGGGATTTGGTGACAATAAGAAAATAGGAAATATAACCCACCTCCACCATTCGCTGCCAATCAAGAATGCTGAGCCTTATCCTTTAATCCATCCTCATAATTAAAGTGATAATTAAAGTTTTCTGTTGATCGACCAATCATGTCAGCGCCAGACGTTTTTGTAGTAACTGAGTCACGTCAAAGGAAGAAGGTGCCGCGGTGAGTGTGTTTCAGATTTGTTTGTTCGGGTCTAAATTCATTGAGGAGGAGGCTGGCTTTGCTGTGCTCAAACTGTCAATCACTTTGCACTTTGATTCTGATCTGATCCTTTGCCACCGAGCTTTCAAGAGGCTGACCTACTTTGCAACAAACTGCTGATGCATCTCTCGCGTTCATCTGCTCTTGTTCACTCGCGTGCTTCTTCCTTTGCTGTTTTTGAGCTCTCTGCTCCACTTCTTTTTTTTTCCCAGCTGAGCACCAGCAGTTTCTCCTCACCTCACCCCCCACCTCCCCCACCTCCTCCTCCTCCTCCTCCTCCACTTCACTTCTTGCTTTTATTATCTGGACAGGTATGCACAAGCAATCCGCTGGGCTGCTTGTTGTTTTGAAATGTGATCGGGTAAAAGTGGAACACACCTAACGAGCTGACCATCCAGAAACAAATCCACTTTAGCCCACAGCTAAAGCTATAAACTATTCAAAACCAAAGCTCTGAATACCAGCTGTGTCATCAGCATTAGAGCGATGAACTGAGAGAAAGAGAAAGAGAGAGCTGCCTGAAAGAGAAGAGTTGCAACACCTGGTTTGTGTTTTTCTTTTCCAAAGAGCAAAGAGACACAAAAGACAAGCGTTTTAAAGTCTCCTAAGCCAGAAACTTATTATCTTGCATGAGTACAAATGTGAAACACACACCGCGTTGTATTGGCCAAGTCACCATGTGAAATAGCCCAAGGGCTACAGTGCTAGACAGGTGTGCAGCAACGCAGCCAGGGCAGTGATCGGCACTCATCACCTCAGGGCTCAAGTTTTTAACCCTCTGACTGTTTGAATCTTCACATACGAGCCGAATATTCTCACACACGCAGATTTAATAATAAATGACAATGACAAGATAAAAAGTGAATGATTTGTGCTTCCAAGGAGTCAAAGCCAAACACGTTCTTGTATTATCATGAACTGAATGCACAGGTAGCAGCTCGGTCGGTGGTCTGTCTGTTTTATAGTGCAGGTTTGAAGACAAGTTCATGTCCTACTTCAGAGGCGCCCAACCCCCTGAAGATGAAACCTCCCTGACACGCAGAGACACTCTTCCACATTCCCTGGATGACTCGGCGCGCTCATTCCTCTGAAATTGACCAGTAAGCCGAGGCAGGAGACAAACAAAGAAACTCAGCCGTACACGTGCGGGAGCGAGGGCTGCTATTATGGGCCATTAGGAGCCGCTGCTATTTAGGCCACAAGCCAAAAAGGGCTTCAGGAAAGTGACTGAGCTTCCTGAAAATAACAGCGTCACTGATGTTAAAAAGGTCAAGTCACTTTCAGTCAATGACGCCTAATGATTTTAGCCTAGTTTCCATCGGAGCGAGTCAGAGCGTGGACACACAGTCACGTTCAGGGGAGCAGCTGGGCATGTGCATGTAAACACCACGAGGAGCACAAGCAGCATTAGTGTGCAGGGTTACACACACACACACACACACACACACACACACACACACACACACACACACACCACACACACACTCAGACAGCCACTGTCTGAGTGGCAGGTGATGGGGCAGGTGCTCTCCAGACATACAGTTGTGGAGAGGGGTTGGGGGGGGGTTGTGGTGGGGGGTGGGGGGGTGAGTTATAAATCTGTGAGTGATATGAGCAGACACGCAGAGTGAAATCAAATCTACAGTAGTGTGACTTTACAGAAACTACTTTTATTTTCAATTTGATGACTATTAAAAATTTTTTAAAAAGTTTCGTTATCAGGAGTCTGCCATCACGCGGGGGATCTCCAGTCTGTCATAAAGTGCAGCGACACTGTTCAAAGTCCTGATTTATGCTTCGTCCTGGTACACGTCTCCGCAGCGTGCAGGTGGTGAGTTTAGGCGTAGCGTAGTAAATCAGATAATCCAGAAAAAAACACCCACAGCTATCTAATTCTGCTCCAGCCAAAATATGAACCTCCCAGACAATCCAGGAATCCATACACAGCCGCAGCCGCAGCCGCAGTCGACTCACATGACGATACACTGACTCATCAGGACGGCAGACATCACCTCAGCTCACCCTCTTTGCTGATGGCGTTTGAAAGATACTTGAGAATAAGTCTGGACGCTGGTAATCTATTTCAGATGTTTATGTCGCAATCACCTCACAGAGAAGGAGGGTGCGAGTTTCCATACTTTCAAAAAATATAAAACCCGCTTCCTGAATGTCATCATTACGTTGTTGTTTATCCCTCATGAGGAAGTGTCAACAACTGGAGCAGCTGGAGGCTCCACATGAGCGAACAAACAAACAGTGAGAAAAGGGTGAAAGAAAATCCAACCTACTGCTGCGTGCACGTACGTGCATGCACATGCCTGCATGCGCACACACACACACACACACACAGATCGGAGCACAGGCCTCAGTTGACAATCCGAGGTTCTGGCAAGAGAAGGTGTTTGACTTTTATGCTAAAATGTCCCACAGAGGAGAAGCAGAGTGTGTATGTGTGTGTGTGTGTGTGTGTGCCGCGGCGCCAAGTTTCAGCCATGTACAGTTTTTAACAACCCCTCATCCAACATACTCCAGACATGCACTTACCTGCCCCGCTCTGCAACAACTCATTGCTGCACTGTAACCATCACATTCAAGGCTCGTCTCCCTCTGCACTGCCTAGGGAGCTGCTGGAAACATTACTGATGCAAGCAGCCACTTCTTCCAAGGGAATAAATGAATAGAGAAGCTAATGATGCCACTGGCAGGATGTATGCATCTACTTGAGCTGGATACGTGCAACTTTTTTTGTGTTGCAGGAAAGTGAAAAACAAACTGTCACGTTTCACATTTGAATCCTGCGTGTTCTGTGCTGCGTTTAAATGTCTGGTTTTGTGAGTAGAGACAAAAAACAAATCCAGGCAAACAGAGTCCAGATAGCTCATGTCATGGTGGTGTGGTTGTTTTCCTGAATCACATACACAAACAGTATCTAGGCTTTGTTTCCAGAAACATATGTGCTGTCAGAAAACATGCAGTGCACCTGACAAGCTGCACAGCTCTACTTTCTCCAAGTTGCACGACACAAAGCGAAACCTGCACGCTCGGACAAATGACACAGCTCCACTTTCACTCCCAGCAGCTAAATTCTCCAACTCGGAGCAGAAAGGTTTTGACAGGAATGTGGAGTGTGTGTGCAGCTTTCTCTGTTTTGTTCATTTATTTTCTGTGTAAAGGACTTAGTGTGTGTGTGTGTGTGTGTCAGTACTGTACCTCATTGGCGTTAGCGGTCTAGTGTGTGTGCTGGCTGGTGGCCAGCAGCAGTGTGTGAATCCAGGCCATCCCAGGGTCAGACTGAGCCACTCTGCTATCCATTGCTGCCTTGTGTTCCTCCTGGCTTCTTTCCTCCCGTCTCCTCCTTCAGCTTCTTCTTTTGTTCTTTTAAAACACAGCTCAGCTTTTCTCAGATCTCCGCTCCTACGCCTGATTCTTCTTCTTCTCCTTGTTCTGCTGCTCCACGAGAAAACAAAAACAGGCTGAAAAACGTCCACCACTTGCTGCTCTCAGAGCTACTTACAATTCAGATCCTCTCTCTAAGCTCCTCTGCTCTCCCTTCTCTCTCGCTCCTTTTCCCTCCCTCCCTCCCTCCCTCCCTGCTACTGTTGGGGAAGTGCTCTCTCATTTTCTCTCTTTCTCCTCCCCCTCTCTTGCCCTTCCTCTCTAACTCTAATAGTTATTTAGTGTCTCTGCGTGCAGCTTTCACTGAACGTCAGACTGTGCGATGGTGACAGAAAGAAGCTGCAAAGGCTCGAACGCTCTCATCTCTTTCAGTGCTGCCCGCTCGCTGCTGTATCAACTATGTTCACTAATCAAACATGAAAAGAATGGTGAAGGGGGTGGGGGGGTTAGTTACCTCGGGACAGCAGTTTACGCAGCAGTACTGGACGTCTAATTGTCCCCATTTTCTGTCAGAGGAAAACAGGTCACTGAAAGCCTCAGAGTTGTTTGTGATTTTTCTCTTGTATCATTGAAAAAATATTTTTGTGGTGATACTTAGTTTGAACTTAAGCACTGACAATCTGAAGTATTTTTTAGTTGGTTAAGTTGTAAAATTATGATTTAAAATTAGTCAATTAACATGTGACAGGTGAGGCTCACACAGCTATTTTACCTCTGCCTTTAACTAGCTTTAAAGCTGCACTAATCATAATTCTTATATTAACAAAGTATGAAATGAAATTAGATAGATCATTAGATTTAAAAAAATATATATATTTTTGGTTTTTTTTGGCTTGTCAAACTATTTCACCAGTATGCTTTATGTTAAGACCTGTCAACTATGTTATCTTATAGATGTTTGTTGTCACACTATTTCACCTATTAAACACAAAACAAGAAGAAGAAGCAGTGAAGGTGGAGACCAAATCAGAGCAAAAAAGACAGTGAGCATTAGACCTCGATTTGACAGTTGGACACAAACATGAGTCAAAAACAATGCTGATGTTGCTCTGCATCACATTCATGTGTAGAAGCAACTGTTTGCTAAAGCCCTGTTGACGTTATGTTTTTAGTTCAGCTGCCATGAAGCAGGGAAACAAAATCTGCAGCTTTATTATTCCCCTCTGTCCGATAGTGTTTATATGTATTCTGTTGGTCGGCTTGTTGCAGCTTTAAAGTGAATCATCAAATCTCAAGTTCATGTTATTTATGGCTGCACCAGCTCATATTAAATATTATAAATATTCTAGTTGTTTTGTGCATCATTTTAGCAAAATTCAGCCTGATTTATTTCAAGTCTTTACTGGAGTTTCAAATAAAGTTTTGTGGCTTTGAACGATGTTCGGCTGCAGGGCATAAGTTTGCAAAGACTTCTCAACAGACAGGGCTGTGGGGTTTAATATCAATAATCTAATTTCTTTGTTTTGTTTTCAATATGAAGCCATTTTCAAATGACAATAATTCAAAGTGTTTGATTATCATTATTCACTGTCCTCATGAAAAGCTCGTATTGCATGATGCAGGATTTTTGTGATTTTACGGTAAAAATGTACCAATATCATGTTACTGATTTCAGATACATCATGCAGCCCTGGAGTATATATACAATCATACTTAATATCTCATGAATGGACCAGAAATGTAAATAAAAGATATTTTCCAAAGCAGGTTTTTTGGGGTATTTCACTCGGTGTCTTGTTCGCTGCACTGTTACCTTGTGGCTGACTCTGGGCTCTGTTCTGCAGCCTGTGCATGCGAGCGCCTCCCTCCTTAATCCAGCGCAGGGTGAATGAGCCAGCCGGTGTCCACGGCGCATACCTGTGCTCACTGACATGTACTAACTCACTCTTCCTGCAGGCCATGGCAGAGGAACGCACAGCAATCATAACAATCAGAAGATGAATGTGGCCAAGGGAGAGAAAGGGAGGGAGAGAACGTATATCAAAGAAATAAATAAATAAAGAAGACAAGGATGAAATAAGAGAGCGAGGGAGGAGAGAGCAGTGAAAAAGAGAGAGGAAAAGGTAATGAGGAAGAGCAGAGGAGATAAATAAAAGTCAGGAGTTGCCCAAGGCCACGACCATTTGAGTTAGAGTGTGAGAGAGTGAAGGGAGAATCATTAACGAACACCTGTCAGTTTCTGACTCCTAATAAATCAGCGTCCTCTGTATCTGTCTCCAGGTATCTGCTGTTTGGAGAAGGTTACTGTACATCCTGCGAGGTGGGGGTGGGGGGTGGGGGGGTGGAGAGGAGAAGGAGAAAGTGGAGACGGCAGGTGAAGAGGAATGATAAGTTCATCCCTACAGCACAAAGAGTGCAGGATCTCCCGGCTGACACATCAGCATTTCAGAATCCCACGCTGGAGGAGGAGGAGGAGGAGGAGGAGGAGGAGGAGGCATTTGATTCACGTTCATCAAACTGGATTTATTTTGTTCTAAAAGATCGAAACGTAAAACAGCTCACACACAAAATACGTCTCACATCGAGGTGCTGTTTCACTCCTGTTCTGTACATTAGCAGCTCTCTGAAATCCTCCACATGAACACTGTGCAGATTCAAGTAAAAAGACAGGCATGCTCAGCATTCATGGACAGTAAACATGTACAGTATATGTGCATTGCATGGACATATTGCATACATTTCAGATGCGGGTGTAGTGTATGTCTGCAGATGTTTTTTGTTTTTTTTTATCCCACAGTGAAGACAACAGATAATCTATGTAATAATAACACATCTGTCAGCTCACAATCACAGCCTATTGAAAATCAGCTAAAAAAACAAAAGTGCAGTGTTTGTAACAGCCGTGTACTTAAACCTCACGTCAGTGGTCGTCATAAGGGGGAAAAAAAAACCACTATTTAAACTCAGATTAAAGGAGCACTCCACTGACAAAGAGACTGTGCTACAAACTGGAGGCGTGGAGCCTGAAAAACATTTACCGAGCAGCGAGAGTCTGATCAAGCTGCTAACAGTCAAGTGAGAGCAGCACCACAGACGTTTCTGAGACCCACTGTCGCTACGGAGAAGAACCCAGTTAGTTAGCAAATTCAAAACACTGATCGCTGTTGCCGTTGGGAACACAACAAGGCGCCATAGTTAACAAATTCATCTGAAAAGGATTCAGAATTTGAAAGTGAATTTGTTATTTATCACTTATGGTTCCCTTCCAAAATGAACCTTGTGAGTTTTTTCTCTACACAGGTTTGTAACCAGATCAAACTTTTACCTCTGGATCCTCAGATTCACAAAAATAAACTCCTCCCACTCTATTAAAATGTTTTCAGGTTGAATCAGGGCGTGTGTCCATGTAGCGTGTTTATTTTCTTGAGTGCTAGCGTCAATTGCTCGCAGTGAGGACGGAGCATATGTGAGTGTTATTATTATTGGATTTTTAAATGTGATGCTTTGGTGTATCCAGGTCTTAATGAGGAAATAGATTTCAGACCCTTGGTATCCTTTTTATCCTTCTATCTTTTTATTGATTATAATCATTATTGTAACTAATATCTTGTTGTTTACACAGCCTACTTGTTATATATTATATGAAACCTGTCTCTCTGATATGAGCTAACACAATAAATGTATTTAAACTAATGTATACCCTTAGCTTTGTGGAAGTGTGCCTGAAGTAAGCCCAGTAGCTTCCTTTTGTCCCTGTTAACCAATCAGATGGGGTGAGACTCGGTGAGTCTCGTTGCCCTTGTAAACAAGAAAATGGAGGAGAAGCCTGTTGTGGTCGTGGCCGTCTGTCCCGAGATGTAACGATCACAACGAAGACACAAAGGCTCAGCTGTGCTGGTTGGTGTTGTGCTTTTATCATGACGTTTAGTCATGCACCCACATCCTCCTCGCTCTGCAGCTCATCCATACAAACTATGAGGGCGAGCATCCTCTGGTTGGCGCTCATGGTGAAAAAACAATATCAAACAAATTGTAATAAAATGCAAAGGGCCGATGCTGCTCTATCATACAACAGCAGTGGTGATATGTTGTCGGGACATTATTCCCAGAGACCTGCCAGCTCTTTTCTGTCAGAGAAAAACACTACATGAACACACGGCCTTATGGGAAATGTTTTTGGAGTTTGACCCACACTAAACGTCAGGATGCCTCAGCCTCTGCTGTATTGCCCCCTCCCCAGTGCAGAGTGCCCCTTTAATGTCTTTAAAAACACATAACATCAATTTAACATTACGGTATTCACTGTGATGCGAGGGGTTAGTAGAGGTCACTGGACAAACCTGAACCCCAGAGGGACCAATCAGGGTCTTGGGTCCACGCTTTCTAGTTCACCTCAGGACGAGTCTGACTCACGCTGCTGTGTTGAAACCTGACGACAGTAGCATTAACAATACATGCTGCAACTTCAGTTAACCAGTCACAAACACAACGCGCTGACATGGATTTAGAGTCGATACTGTGCCTCTGACTTTTAGCTTTACCTTTAAATTTCAGACAAAAAAACAAAAACAAATAAATGTCCCAGTAACATCATACTGCGATAATGCTGAAGTAACCGGGTAATTATCAATTTATCAATATGTTAATCACATTTTTAAAGATGTGTTAGTTTGCTCAGGCTGTAGGTCAGATTGTGAAGATGTAACTGGTGTAGGCCTAGTGTGAATATAAGTGGACTTTGAGTGAGTCTGCCTGAAAATGAAAAGGTGGTTAAACTGAGTCTCAGCCTCCATTACATACCTGTTTATCATAACGTCTGTGCAGCAGTATGCGTTAGTAAAATAATAAAGAATCCCGGTATCAAGGCGGTATTCCACTCAGGGAAAAAGTTCATTCATGTTATTCCAGATATAAAGGTGTGTCTTTAATTTCCCTCCCACCGCTCCTCTTCCACGATAGAGTCCTAACTCATGTTTCCAAAGGACGCGTCACTTGCTTCAGGGGAGGCAGCGCAGTTGGGTTTGGACAAGGAAGGAATGGGGAAGGAGCAGAGAGACAGAGGAGAGAATTAATTCTGTCAAACATATCACTGTGAGAGGTATATGCTGCTAAATAAGAAAAAAAGCTGACACATACAATCTTTGCTGCAACATGCTGCTGAATGACAGCCTGCTACCAGTGGCACATACCCGTCATAACAGCAACACTGGCAATAAAACGCATTACTTAAGACTTACGACATTTTAGGGAAATATGCTAATTTATGTTCTTTGAAGAAGTGAGAAATGTCTGCGTGTTCTAGACTAGCTTAGCATGAAGACTAGAAACAGCTAGCCTAGCTTTGTCCAAAGCTAACAAGATCCACATACCAGCACCTCTAAAGCTCACTAATTAACATGTCATATCTTGTTTGTTTAAAGGAGCTATATGTAAGTTTTTCTATTGCTACATAGCTAACTTCAGCATTAGCAGCTGTTTACTTACCAGTCTAGAAGAAACATTGTGAGGTCAGCATTAAACTTTATTCCTTTACTCACCAAGAGCTGTCTCCAGCAGTGGGAGGCAACCCTCTTGTTTTTTGATTCTATTTCTATCTCTTCTTTTCTTCTACTGAAGTTAGCATGCTAACCAGCTAGCCTCGGCGGAAAGTGGACAGTCTCATCACTTTCCGATACTGAGTCACTGTAGCGTCCAGTCTGCCCTGAAGAAGTAGTGCTGCTCAGAGGACGTATTATAACCTTGTCTTGTAAAAGCGTCAATGGCGGAAGCAATGGGCAAAGACTGGTACGTAAACAGCCATTAATGCTAATGCTGGCTAGCAAAAACATTACAGATAGCTCCTTTAATCAATACAGAAAACAATCCACTATTTTAAGGGAGTTTTGTGTCTGACTGGTTCTTTGCTTTCATGGCTGTTTGTTGCCAGGCAACCTGCGGAGACTCCAGGAAGTTACTGGTCCCTGTTTCCAGTCTTTGTGCTAAGCTAAGCTAAACAGCTGTTGGCTGTAACCTCGTATTTAACATCAATCTTCTCATCTAACTCTTGACCAGCGAGCGAATAAGTATATTCCCCAAAACCCTGAACATAAACTGAAATGTAAGACTGACAATTTATTGTACTAGGGGAGTTACTATTGTAATAATAAGATAATACTTATCGTCTTATAACATTATGCCGTCCAAACAAATAGTTTCCACACATTTGAAAAGTTGAATATGATATAAAATACAGTGGAATAGAGTTGACAGGATTGAACATCAAGTTAATTTCTTTTCTTGTGATTTATTATGTAATAAAATATAATATTTGAAATAAATGTATATGATTTTGAAGTTGTGGTAGTAGAGGAGGTGTAACTGTACAGTAGTACTGTATGTACTTTATACTTTAAGATGAATTAATGCCACTGAATGTGTTATAAACTGGAGTTCGTTTTAATTTGATCACTTCTGCCGTCGTTGCCTTAATAATGACGTCCTTCTCGGGAACGCTGTTTACTTACCTGTGTGTAGTCGTGTGGAACTCACCTGTCCTCATCCAGCAACATTCACTACATGAGACACATGACAACAGCATGGGTCAGAGCACAGGGACACACACACAGATGAGGATGAATATACACTCTATGGGACTATTTTTTTCTTCACGAGCCAAATGTTACTGTACCAGGCCGTAAACCTCTGGTGCAGAATTTGAACTGTTCTACTTTCTCTTTACTTCCTGCTTGAATATAATGATTTAATGATCTCTTTCAAAGTCATTTCTGTCATACTTTAAAGCTCAGCATTAACAGCCGTGTTAAAAGAGGGAATAATAAGCGATGTCAACAGACATCAGCCATCAGCCTATGGATGTAATCAAATTCATCTGACACAGATATGTTTTGGCTCAGGTCCCACACAGATTACCTTTAATGACCATGTTGTGTGCAGTGTAGCACGTTCAAGTTTACGACGGCGAGTCGAGACGCAGGTGCTCTGTGGAGGTGTGGAGGTGTGGAGCTTTTAAAAGCCTTTAAAACGTGGAATTTATTTATGAGGATCAACAGGTTTAACACCGTGAACTCTGCTGGCGCATTGTTTTATTGATCGCCTGTGTGGAATCATAGAAACAACAACATACTGCAGAACATTTATGATTCTGATATTTAGGTCAGATATCATGAAGTTAAACTGAAGTAAATTAGTGTTTTATTAGAAGAAGGTCTGTGGATTATCCAGAGTAGCAAAGGAATTATTTCTAGAGGTAGATGTCACAACATCAAAACATCTGTAGACGCCTGATCCAGAAACCCTAAGAGTCAAAACTGGTTCTTGCCTTAAATATTTGATTAAAGAATTTAAAGAGTGTCAGGTTTTATGAACAAGTGCGCTGCATGGGATTGTGTGTGTGTGTCCCATGTTCTACTGACCTGGGCTGGAGGTGCTTGGGGTGACAGTGGCGGCCCCTCGGCCTCGACTCACCAACAGGGCCTCTTGGTTTTCAGCCAGAGCTTGCTTGGCCAGGTAGCGCTCCCTCTTGATCTTCAGCTCCAGGGACTCGGGGACGTCAGGTACGATCCAGTCGATGGCTCGCAGCACGAAGAACACCAAATGCTGGAGGGAGGGGCGAGACGTTTGACCTCAACATCAGACTGAAGAAAAATGTCTGTCCCGTCACAATCTCTAAAGTTTGAAATGTGAGTGTACAAGCAAGTTATACAAGCGTCACATATAAAGACGTGGAAATTTGTGTTTTCTTAACTCAAGCTCCACTGTGTAGATTTCTACCAGAGCTTTCACCCACTCCTCTGCAGATGGAGGTGTTGAATTATCTCCATGACAAGTGAACAAACTCCATCTGCTGATGAAGACCAGAAGATGTGGCTGAAATCTTGTGGATCATGAACCTTAAAGTTCATTTTGTCCAACATCTATCACCACTACTGAATGATTCCCAGGTTTAATGACTTTTCTGATAATCTCACATCATTTTGTGATATTTCCCAATCCCCTGGATGATTTAATTGATTTCAAACTGTCCCGTTCTGAGATATTCTGACAGTTTTCTCGCACATTTGTTCAGTGGTAGGAGGAAAAACTGGAAACCCAGAATACTTGTCCTTCTTAGGTCTGGTTGTGTGGAATTTGCAGTGAATGCGTATGAATTTAAGTTTATTCTACTCATGCATCTCTAATGACGGTGTCAGCGAGACAGCAGACATGTCAGTGTAAACAAAGAGGAAGGTCAGATGGAAGGTGAAAAGTGGAGGGAGACCGTTTAAAGTTTGAGAGGAAGATGAAGCACAAAGGAAAACAGAGGAAGTATCTTAGGTAATATGGTGCATGTCAGCTATGAAATAACAGAATATGAAAGAGTGATTTGGACAAACGTCGCACTGACTGAAACAGACACTGAGAGAGGGTTAAATAACCGGAAGTTCAAGTATGCACCTGACAACAGAGACACAACTGGCGATAGAAAAGTGGGTGAAAGATAAAAATGAATAAAATGTTGGAATTAAATTCACTGAAACAGGCAAAATATAACAAACAGAGAGAAAACAGCTCCTTCGTACCTCAAAGGCAATGATGAAGCCGAGTCTGACAGCAAGGAGCTCCCAGTAGAACAGTGTGTAGTTTCCATTGTTGTCTCTGTAAGCTTTATATCTGAAATAAAAGAACAGTTACTGCATAACAATAAGTGTGTAATGGCTGTGATGTGTGTGTGATATACAGTCTATGATCTGAAGTCAACAGGGTAGAAAAGTGAAACCCTGACAGGAGACGATGAGTCTTGTATTACATACATGCAGCGTACAGCGTACCTGCACATGGGGTACTCAGTGTAGTTAAGGGGGGCGTGGGCCAAGGTAAAGTTGACGTATCCGTTGAGATCATTATTGAACTTGTACTGGTAGAGCAGTCGAGGTAAAAAATCGGACGTGAACGCGATCAGAAAAGCCTGTGGAAAGATCAAATACAGTGTTAGAGTAAAGAAGCCGTCACCGTGACACTCGTGATAACGACGGCGACCCGCGATGATGTCGTTATCAGTCGACTCGACTCACATTGGCGATGACGGACAGGTGCGACAGGGCTTCCAGTATGTTGAACCAGACTCCGATGTTCTGGGCGCGCTCGGCCACCGGCCTCCGGTACTCGCACACAAACTTGTGGGCGTCCAGACGGATTTCCACCCAGTTGTTGAGGAGGGCGAAGAGCGGGGCGAGGGGGAACGCCGCCACGAAGATGGTGATGAACCCGAACTGGAGCACTGCAGCACGAGAGGGTTTGTTTTAATTACAACAACTGGAACATGCACTGACGTCATCACGTGCCTCATAAATCCAGTTCCAGACGCTCACCCATCTCCAGATACTCCTCAAAGAGGCCTTCACATTCCACCAGCTGGTAGTCTTCCTCCCACCGCCGAGGCTCCCGGGACGCCTTGTCCCCCAGCACCTTGGCCAGAGTTCTCTTCTGGCGCCAGGCCTTCACTTTCCTGTCCGAGCGGAGAAACAGAGAGCGCATTTACATTCAGCACAGGGAGGTCAGAGGTCAGAGGTCAGAGGTCAGGCTCTCAACAGATTCCGGTGTTTCATTTGATTCTGACTGAATTTGTGTATTTTTTACATTTATCATTTATTTCACAGAGTTGTCTTCTGTTGCGCACCAGGATTTAAAACTGTCATGAGCATGGGGTTTTCATTTGTTCGGAGCTGGATTCATTTGCAGCAGTTGTCATAGCAACACGTCCCTCAGACTGAATCCTTCAAAAGTAGCTGCAGATTTCTCTTATTATGGCTTTTTTTTTTTTTGTCATCTCAGCAGCTCATTCTCGTTTCGCTGTGACACAAATCTGCCTCAAAACCCACCGCACATGTCAAACGTTTTTTGAGACAACGGCACAAGCTTCTGCCGACAATCAGCAATCCCCAGGAGAAACAAACGAGAGACACCACACCCGGTCCTCCATGTCGAGCTGTCGCAGGTCAAAGCAGTTAAAACTGATCGAGTGTTCAACAGGTTTCATTTAAACATTGCTCCTCGCTTCATCTACTCAGTGGCAGCCATCCTCTCAGATATCAACAAGAAACGACAACTGGAACAAGCGTGCTGATCCAAAGACGAAGACGCCGCCGCCCGAAGGAAGCCCCGCCAATGTCAGAGTTAGATTAAACCAGCGGGTAGACGACAGGATAAACCCTGTGGGCCGTGTTCCTCAAGGGATTTGGGTCCTAAATTTGGACGCAGCTGCAGTTTAGAAAAAAGAAAAGTGAAAACCACTTGGACGAGCAGACTCAACCTGACTGCCGACTCACGCACTCAGCTCCAATCCATCATTTAATCAGTCTAACAGCAGCTGCACTTTAGACCTCACTATGTGGGACATTAAATACAGTATACACTGCTGTGCTTTCCCCCTGCTCATCCCATGCTCATGTACAACACATCATATCCCAATACAAGATGACTACCCATAATGCCTTACAGGGAGCTCTAGAAAAAGAAAAAAAAGAAGTAATTATGCAATATCAGACTGGGTGTGATCTGTGTGTCTCATAATTTGTGGTTTGCCAGTAAGTAGTAAAATGCCATTGGAACATTTTCTGTTGGAGTAACTGGAGCTCTGCGGTCGGCCGTTTTTTATTTTTTATTTGAAAAAAGTCTTAATTTACCCAGAATTCATTGTACCCACATCCAGATTTAGATGGTCAAGAACTTAACTGCTTTGTGCAGCGGATGAATTTAGACTGAAGAAGTCTGACTATTTGTTATATTTAAGACACATTGGTATTATTCTAGTTCTAAGTTTAAAAAGGTCTGATCCCTTCAGACTGATCAGTAACAGCAGGGGAAAGCTGTCGTGTTGGAAATAGACAACATAATATTTGCAGTAGAATAAAGGACATCAATCTGATCTAATGGAAAAGCCGAGTCAAACGGAAACATACGGGATAATGAACTCCTGAATGTTGTTGATGAGTTGCTTTCCCACCATGATGATGAAGAGTTGTTCGGCCAGTTCGATGAGACAACCACCTGGACCACACTGCAATATGAAAACACACAGAAACACACGGAGCAGGATCCGTAAAATCTTCCTGTCGGTTAATTATATATTATCTAAAAGCAGAGGCAGGAACTCACATCTTCATTTCTCATCCCAAACAAGGTCCCATAGTTGGTGGGATAACCCACAAACCTGAACACACGGATAAGAAAGACATTTAAAATCTTATTGGTGAGTGACAAAATGTTCTTACTCTCTGAATCATTTCTGTGTCTGTCGAAACTCGTGTCTCACCTTCCTTTGAAGAAAGCCACATAGAAAGGAGAAGAGTAGAAGTTGACAAACTGGAAGATGAACACCTTGAAGATGAAGGCGTTGTCATACTGGGTTTGTGTTCTGTGCATCTCTGCCACAAAGAAAACAAAGACACACACCGTTAAAGACATAAAACCCTTGATAATAATTTTACCGTTTGACACGTGGCTGCTGTGAGATGTCAAAAACACAGCAACAAAGACAGTGTGTCACATGTGCTCAGCGCTGTGTGACACTCTGCACATGTGTTTTTATTGCCTTTAGTGAGAGACTATTTTTACCCCAGATGATGGGATCAAATTCAAGACGTGGTCTCCTCTGTGTCTTTAGTCAGAGCAGATCCAAATATCAATATACAGTACTGAGGTTTGAGGTGTTGGGAGAGCTGTATTGATTCTTACCCCATTTAGTGAGCTGCTCAGCTAATGCAGTGTAGACCCGGCCCATCAACAGGATGAGGCCCAGATTCACAATACTGCTGGAGATGTTGGCGATGGTCCCTGCCTGATGAGGAAGTCACACACATGTATAAATGTACACAAATAGACACACACATACTCAAAGGATGCTGGGCTGTACTTCACACACAGACTTACAGTAAAGTCTATTAATGTAGTTATTACAAGAACAAATGAAATGCACACATCCTCCGTAGACACCCTGTGCAGCTCTGATATACCTCTGTTCGCAGGACGGGGCTCCCGGTATGAAACATCATCACGCTGATGATACCGCGGCACATGACCACCGTCACCAGGAAGATCATCACCACACAGAGCTGAGAGGGAAGACGCAGGGATGTTGGGTCAAAGGAAAAGTAAAAAAATACCAAACAAATAAAATAAAAAAATACTCAAGACATAAAAAAATACCAAAGAAAAGAAAAAATATAAATATAAAAATACAAAAAAAATTAAAAAATATCAGAGAATTAAAAAAATACCAAAAAATATAAAAATACCCAAAAAAAAACAAAAACCAAAAAAAACCCCCCAAAATTAAGAAATTCCCCCCAAAAAATAAAAATAAAAAAACCAAAGAAACATAAAAAATACAAAAGAAAATCAAAATATTAAAAAAAAAACCAAAAACAAAAACAAACAAATTAAAAAATACCAAAGAAATAAAAAAATACCAAAAAAAATGTAAAAAATACCAAGGAAATAACACAGAGATGAAGCAGTTCCTCATGATGTTCAGAAGAAGCTCGTCATTCGTTACTACACTGATTCAGTTTCATCACTAACAGCGTCAGGTGATAGCCAATCAGAGGTCTCATAGGAAGTACTGATAAGATATCTTCTCCATGGACATCAGCCAGAATAAAATAAAATAAAATAAAATACATATTATCTTTTTCGTGATGTCCATGTTTGTTGTCTGCGTTTGACTGATAACAGATTCTGTTTAGCAGCAAAGAAACACAGAAACACACCAGACCAGCAGATTTACACAAATTCACTTGCAGTTAAATCAGTGGGTGCAAGGTTGGCAGTATTTTCACAGTTAAAGCTAAAAATAGACATCAATTAGAACGATACTGAAGTAGAAGTAATACCTCTCCTTACATCTGATCCCAGAACAGCGTTCTGTCCCTTTAAGGATGTTGCCTTTTTGCATTCATCATGTAATTTACCGCCCGCTGTTGTGGCAGCAGGGTATTGTCCCTGAAGCTAGCCTGACTTCCAGCTGTTGTATCTTTCGTTTCTGTCATTTACATGGGTGTGACTGTGTCCTGTTGACTAGCTATGACCAAAGTGAGCTTGTCAAGCTGATCTTGGACTCAGCTTCTACCGTTCTGAGATCAGTAATGATATTGCAGCATTATAGGCAGACGTGTGTGGAAACTAAACTAAACAGTAGCAAGTAAACGAGCAGATTACACCGATTTATCATCCGTGTGAGATCTGCAGTAGGTCTGAGACAGAATACTGTTACAGGAGTAGAGCAGCTCCTTTCAGGAATAGATCAGTACGTAGGTTGTGGGCGTAGCGAGCGAGAGAGAGAGAGAGAGAGAGTTGGCTGCTCGGTTCTGCTTCCCCATCTGTAAAAGTCACCGAACGCCACGGAGTTCAACTGATTCTGTGAATGAGAAACCCTCATTAGCAAAATGTTTCTTATGTTTCCAAGGCCAATCCACAACGAACCAGTTCTCAGAGTTTCTGAACTGGGAAGAGAAATTGTTTAGCATAGATAGATACTGTATAAATGGTATTATTTAGACTGTATATTGTAAAACAATTAAAGACTAATTTTGTTCATTTCAGCAGGAAACAGCTGCTTTCCTCATTAAAAATAAGCTCCCTGACTGACTGGCTTCAGCCTCAGTCACTCTTCTCGGATTGATTTCTAGATCACTGGTCACGGATACTGTTCTGTGCAGTTAGCCTTTACACATCATGTGTGTTGGTGCCATGGCAGCATTTTCAATTTTCCACCTTTGTCACTATTGTCAGAGAAGGGCTGGAGGAAAGCTGATCCTCAGGTCCCTGTCCAAGAAGAAGTTAATCCAGTGTATGGCCGAGATTATCAGATCGAATCTAACCCTGTGGGCAAATGACCTGGATTCATTATTAGAACAGGGGTTCAGTTACCACTGTAGGTGGAGCAGCACACAGGTGTAAACCCCACCTCTCTTTCTCTTCAGGATCTCAAGAGTAAAAGCTCAAAAGACACTGAGACTCTTCACTGAAGAATATAAGAAAAGGAGAGCAGGTCTGCTCATACGTGTGTGGAAGCTGATCAGGATGTCGCATTAGATTCACATCATGAAATGTGAAGAATGAGTTTCATTAGATTAGAAGAAGGTGACATTGAGTCGCCACATATGTAAATAATATTGATCTATTCCTGCAATAAAAAGGTTACACAAGTCAAAGAGACACCTGGAATTCAGAGACAGCTCAACAGCTTCTCTCTAAAACATTTTCAAACATTGTCTCACCATCATGATGATGACCATGGAGCCGGTGAACATGCGGGACAGCCTGGTCTTCTCAGGGAAGTAGGGCTCTTTGACCCCGGTCACTGGATTCTGCTCCATCGTCGGGGCCATGGCTGCGAACTCTGGCCGAGGACGTTCCTGAGGGAACACAGAGATGACGTCAGCCTCGGTGGACTCACTCTTTACCGGTGTGCTGAGAGCAGTCCAGTCTATGTACCATGGAAAATTAGCTTGGTGTGGTATTTGTCTCACAACTAAACTCTAAAAATCACTTTGCAAAAGAGGTTTATGTTTTAGGTTTTATTCCAGAGGTTATATAATCTATAATCTTGATTTACAACATCCTGTTTTCTCCATCAGGCCAACATCACCTACACTTTATCTAATGTCAAGCATTTTATCTTCAAGTTTATTTGCCTATCTTAGTAATTAAGACAAAACACTCAACAGGAAACTAGAATCCCCGCCTCGTGGTTGTTTCCTCCACCAATCAGCCAAGTGACAGGAAACACGGCCACAGTCTCTCCTTCCTGAGTTACAGTGTTGAGTAATGGCAACAAGTGTTTTTACAGAACATTATGATGTCACAGTGAAGTCGACCTTTGACCCTTTGGATATAAAAGGTGATCACTTCATATTTATCATACAGATCAGTTAAAACTGAGAATGGCCAAAAAAATGTGTTTGTGAGGTCACAGTGACCTTTGACCTTTGACCACCACAATCTAATCAGCTCATCCTTGAGTCCAAGCACCAGTTCCTTCAAGGCGTTACTGAGATATCGCGTCCACGAGAATGTTGTGTTTGTTAGTCACTTAATCATGACGTACCTAGGAAAAGTGTGTGAGACCAGTGCGTTCATACTCATCCTGAAAAATCAAGCAAGACAGGAAGGATTATGAGACCTCTTCTTCGTGGAAGTCCATGCAGTCCCAGTGATGGGCCAGGGTGGCCATCTTTCTCTTCCAGTACTCCAGGAAGGTCACGGCCCAGAAGGACATGAACACACTGAAGAGGACTGTACCTGGGTGGTCGAACAGGTATCCCAACTGCAACGCAGAGAGATTCGGTGCAAACATTCAGAGACAAACGTCACCTCTGAGTCTGTTTGCGCTGCTATTATAAACCGGCTCGTTTACAGCTGTGTACCTGAGCCATGGTGCAGATCTCAGACATGTTCCAGGCCTTGCATGTGTTACAGAGAGGACACATCAGGTAAGAGGCGCCGTTGGTGCAGATTTCTTTCCTGTTGACAGACACACAGATACAGATCAGTTAAAACTGAGAAAAACACGTTTTGATCTGGCCCTTTAATCAGATCTACTCATAATCATTAACGTGAGAGCTCGGGGACGGGGTGGATCAGCTGTGATGCACACAAACTCAGGGTGCATTGAGTTCAGGAAGAGTGAGAGAGTAACACAGATGAAAGGTGTTGGAATCAGTTACTTGCTGCCGGGGAACAGAGCGACTGCACCTCCACTTATTAGAGTTATTCAGTGAGTTATTGAAACATGACTATACATGGGATAAATGACTGAGAGACGTTTCCTCTTCCTTATTTTTGTAATGAGGAGATTATTCTGCACTAATTATCACATGACGGCTGCAGTTTATTGCTGCTGGAAACTGCTCTCCATCCATTCTGCACTAATCAATGGCTTTAATCTACAGTGTGAACTAATGAACCTCGTGAATCTGAGACATTTGACTGTCTTCCGTCCTCGGTTATTGACTCGTCTCCCACTCTGTCTAAACTCCCTCTGTACTTCATGGTGGGATGAAGACAGTATGAAGTGATTCCACAGTGCTGTGTAGAAAGAGCAGAACCCCACTGTTATAAATCATGTATAATAAATTGGGCACAGACTTTCCCCTTGTGAATTGTAGAATTATGTTATTTTTTTTATCTTTAAGCAGAAGAGACTGCGCTTTCATGTGTATGAAAATGTGCTTGTTTAAGATAATTTGGGAGAAAGTGAAGTTTTAATTCTCGGCATCGCTCAAAGGAACCGTTAAACATTTTGGGAAACAAGCTTATTTCCTTTCCTTCTGAGAGTGAGATGAGTAGATCGATACTAATCTCATGACGGCGTGTTAAGCTCAGAGCTGTGCTGTGGCTACGCTGCCGGATGCCGGTCACGATCTGTTTGTTGTAAGTGTCTGTGCAGGTACCAAATCTGACAACCTCACTGTCGATGGAAGACGGAGGGAAGTCGCTGTAACCAGTTGTTGTTTCCACCACTGAACAGACTGTAGAATCACGCTGTCTTCTTTACAGAAGCAAGAGAAGCAAAGAATTACAAAGCAGAGAAACTGACACAGTGAAGTCAGTTACCGTGACTGTACACTCACACCAAGTAAACGATGTGGGAGCAAAACCTCTTACTGTATGGAACTGAGTCACGATGTGTTTTACCGCTGATGAAGTCAGATTTTAATTAGAAACATTACATAATAACTGCAAGGAGAAGGAAAGAGACACAGCTCGAGCGGCTTCTTGTTTGTTTTGGTACCGATAGAAATTCAAGATTATTACACCGTGAATTCTAACTGCGTGTGTTCTCATCAGAGCTGCAGCGTCGAGGGGTTAGTCTACATGAAAAAAACTGCCTCTTCAGGTATTTTTCAAGCATTTAATGTGTTGATTAGGGAGCTCATGAGAGCGAGATGACAGGAAGTGAGGAGGGACGCACATGGGGAACGACATGCAACAAAGATCCCATGCTGGACTCGAACCAGGGGAGTTATGGTTCAACCGTCTTAACACCTAAACAAACAGGGCGCCCTGTGAATGAGTAAAATTGGTGGAGCTTCCCTTTAAGATGAGACCAACACACCTTGAACTATCAGCTAAATAATACCTGACACTTGATGAACCGTGTTTTAAGTGTGTGTGTGTAATGCTCAATCGCTTCGTGTGTTATGCAATAAAGGCTGTATGTTGTGTGCAGCGTGTGGACTCACGCCGGTGCGTTGGTATGCATGGACATGACTCCAGACACAAAGACCAGGGTTCCCACCACAGCCGCCGGCAGCAGCCACGCTGTGTAGAAACCTGCAGAGACATAAAGCTCCATTAGGCTGCAGCTCTCTGTTGATGCACGCGCAATTACACTGACTGCTACACTGCTGTTTAATGCTGGAACGTCCTGGATGAGGAGGTTCGGTTGGGGTCACAGAAAGCTTGTCTCAAGCTGAGGACGGTGGTGTTAGTTTCTTATTGACAAACGTTCGTTTTTAAATGTGACGAAAGTGAGAAAATAAAGAATATGAAAGAAAAACTGGAGAAAGGTAAAACATTATCAGAAGGAAAGAAAAAAAAACATGTTGAAATTGATTCTTAATTTACTACAGATTTGTGATGGCATGTAACATCAGCTCCTAGTGTTTCCAGACCTTTTGACCACACCGCACGGTCTTCATCGGATACGATATTACATGACCAAAGACCAGAGCTCCACACTAAGGTCACATGATGACAACTGAGCTTTCTCCAGGTGAGAAAACTCCATCTGCTGATGAAGACCGTTAAGATGCAGCTGAAAACTGAAAGCGCCTGAAAAAGTTAGTAAGTGGGCCTTGAGTGTGTGTGTGTGTGTGTGTGTGTGTGTGTGTAGAGTGGGGACCGTCCATAAATTAAAATTAAAATCATAGCTTGATAACACAGAGTTAATTGAGCTTGATAAACACACGTTTTACTAATTGGTCATTTATTCCCCATTCAACTTATTAAACACCTAAAAAAAACAGTGTAAATACTTCAAATCAAATCTAATATTTTTCGTTGCCATATTATTTTTTTGTTTTATATTTTTACAAATTTGGATTGTGTTCTTCGGTTTCAAATTAAACCAAATCATATCCACATGAAGAAGTCAAAAGGGGCTGAATGCTCCTTATGGGCACCATAATTATTATGTCTAAATGAGAGTTTATATTTACCCAGCCAGGCGAAGTACAGTGCAATCTTCTCCCCAAAGTACTCCCTGATGTGGTCCAGTGGTTGGTACTTGTACCATCTCCACCAGCGGGCCCAGTAGTGGTAAAGAACCTGCCTCTGATTCAGCTCGTCAGGACGGATCTCAAACTTCGGGAGCTGAAAAGGGCCCTGTCAAAAAACCAAAAACAAACACTCAGCTGATTAGAGAGGGAAAAGTCTTACATGAGATTAAAGAGCAGATAAATAATATCTGACCTCATGCAGGGGGAAAGCTGCAGTGTACGCCCCTTCATTTATCAGTCTGTCCACACCTACTTCTGCCCTCTTCTTTCTGCCGTAAACCGTCCTGGCGAGGATCTCGTACACCTGAAATAAGACACACACTCTCGCTCCATCAGAGACAATAAACACTGAACACGTCCGGGCATACTGTTAAAGGAAGTCCTGTTACTCACGACACGGTGTCTCTGTGTGTTAGTGAAGTAGGTTTCATGTTCGTCACAGCCAAGGAATCTGAAAAAGCCAGTTTCACTTTTACACAGAGCAGAACAATGAGAGCTGGTTCTGTCATGGATGGACGTCAACCAGAACTCACCTGTTCATCTTTGACTTGCGAAAGGCACATGTGTAATAGTCCAGAGGCCTGTTTGGCACCGCCTCAGTCATTACATTAGGAATGCATAGTCTACTCAGGACCTGAGCAGATGTGTTTAAGTCCAGATGTGGCTGCGCCTGGAAAACAAAACACACACTGATTCAGTATCAAGAATATTTCATCAGCGTCATCTTTATGAAGTGATAACACTCAAGCTCTCACTAAATTTGGTGACACCTGTGTTTACTGGTGATAAGTGTAAGTGCACTTTAGTAATCACAGTAAAATCGTAAACTTAAATGCTCAAGTTGTCGTGTCCACATGTGCGGAATGAGCTTGATAACAGAACTGAAAGCAGCAGCTGCTACTAAAATATATTGAAAAGCTGGGGTCTTCAGAACTGAACTTTTCTATTTACCAGTTATTGCTGATTGTGTATCTTGCCTATTGAATGAATGTATGGACTGATGGGAGAGACGTTTTTGAACCATTTAGTTCTTCTTCTTCTTCTTTTTAGGGTTTCAGGTATTGGGATCCCTTTTTCACCCTCTGTTATTATCATGTTTGTGCTTTGACTTGGATTTTATTTCTGTTTTGAGTGAAAAAAAAATGATGATGATGGAAAAAAAAATAGGTTATTAGTGTCTATGCATTGAGCACAGGGGACAGCAAACACAGGCTTTTATCCTCCTCTAAGTCACATCCAGCACGTGCAAACACCAGAACTGGGGTTTAGTGTTATAAGAAGAACCTACACTGATGCCTGCAGCTATGGTTGTACTTAAACCCTAATGTTCCTCTAATAACCCTCTAAATGACAATGCTAACATGCCGTCACATGGCAGATTGACCCATCAGACTCATTAATGGTTAGCCTGGGGCTTGACCTTACTGACCCCACTCACCTACTATTATTTATCCTTGGACTACTTTAAGCACACTATCTACATCTTTGTCTATAATGTGTGTAATTTAACATCTTAGGTTAGCACATTAGCATGCAAACATTTGCTGATTAGCACTAAACACAGAGTGGAGCTGAGGCTGATGAGCTTTTAGCTTTTCAGTCACAAGTTTTCACACTAAATGAAACATTAAGGACTGAAGTGATTAAAAGTCAATGTCATATGTATGGACCAGATTTCATGGCAGCTCATCCAAAAACTGTGGAGTCGTTAGTATAAATTCTGTGGAGACAGCGATCAGCTGATCCCAGAGACAAAAATACACTGGACAAATCCAGCCATAATTAGCATCAAAGATGGAGTTTGATGTAATGAAAATCTTAAGGATTACACCTTTTAATTAGAAATATTTAATTAGAAACAGCTGTGTTCACCTGCAGCGGAGCTCTCAGACAGAGTTCCTCAGCGTAATACACCATCACATCCCAGGGAGCACTGAGTTTCAGAAAGTGAATCGTTTTCTTTTCATTCGCTGTTTCCTCCTAAAGAGAAGAGAAGAAGTCAACAGAAATAATGAGTAGATGACGAGCTTATTAATAAGGTGAATAATCTTGAATCTGGTCTTTAGCACCTTCTCCATCAGCAGTCCAACACTCGTCAGATTCTGGACAAACTTCTCCCTCCACTGTGCCAACTGTGCCTTCCTCCGCTCGGACCTGCTGCTCTCCTCCGTGGCCACAGCTCCCCCCTCCTCGCTGGGCGCCTCACTCGTCCCCTTCCCTCGCCGCTTCCTCCTCGAGCGGACCTCCCACACCAGTACAAAGTCTGGATCAACCATAAGGAGCCAAAAGGATGAATGAGGCTCTGACTTGAAGCTTGTGACAGCTGATACAATACAAACTGCTGATGCTGCCTACCAATTTTAGTTCTTCCATCTCTGAAGTAGTTCCCCAGCTGTGGAAGGGGCTGGTTACTTCTTGTATTACAGTGAATATAAATGGGATCATCACCACCAGCCATATCTTCATTGTCATCTGCAGCTGCAGCTGAAAGCTGAAAGCATCCACAGTTTAGTTCTTATCAAAGTTAATTAAAAACAAGTGAAAGACTATTTTCTGCTCTCTTTTCTGCTTGTGAACCACTTCTTCTGTCTGTGGACGGTCAATTTCCCTTCGATGAGGGTTAACAGTAAAAACCTGTGCCATTACACAGCATCATAAAAGCCTCCACTTTGCAGTAATGAGTCCAGAAAGATGATAACTGGGCTTTTTACAGTGTGATTGAGCGCAGCAAAGTCATTCATGATACACTACACCTTGTACCATATTGTACGCCTGCGGATTTCACATGAAGAGTAAAACCCTTCTAGTCTCACTGCAACATCTCTGACAGATCAGTGAGGTGTGAAGGAATGAGTCATTTTCAGTTATTTTCCAAGTTTAGTTGGTTCCTGTATAAAAGTAGAAAACACTGCAGCATTTACTCACATATCTCGGTGGGATGAAGCCCCCGTTGTGCAGACTCCCATAGCTCTCCGTGGTTTGTGCTTCACCCCCATAGTCCAGATCCAGGAGGACTTCTCTGTCACCCCTCACCACCTCCGAGCCCTTCCTCAGCATGATGCGGAGGATGACTGAAATACCTGAGGCTGGACACATTCACATGAAATTGTGCTGCTCACTCACACGTAGCTTATCGCTGAAGTATTTCACAGATGACAGGTGAAGACAGAGACTGAGAAGACAGAATAAAAAAGGTTGATACTGTACCTTTGCTGTGGTGAGAATGAGGCCGATGCTGCCGGATTTGCAGCAATCTGTGCTTCCCTTTTCCTCTCCCTCCTCTTTATCTCTGCATCCGTCAGGCTCCTCTGCTCCCCTGGTAAATATCTGTGAAATACCGTAATGGATGTAACATGCAGGCAGCAGCTGAGACTTTGCCGTCTGCGCGAATGGAAATGTACATCAGGACATACAGCACAGCACAGCACAGCACACATCCCCACTTCATAAATAATGCAACAGTCAGTCAGGGGGCAGTGGATGAGAGAGGGTGAAGTCCGAGGTCTCTCTAACACACTCATTATGCAGGACAGAACGTGGGGGGGTGGGGGTCTCCTATTTGATGTTACTGAGTATTCCCTCTTCCATACAAGCTGCTCTGCACATTTCATCTAATTGGTTTTGAAATGTACATACAATTAACATAAATTATTAAGAGAAGAGAAGCGCCGCCCGTCTGAGCTTCATTTCCTGATCTGCTGTGTAACATCACAGGCGTGACATTTTGCTGGTCGTTTCTCAGAGATGCTCTGATTTGACAGCCTCCACCAGCATCAGCACAATAGGTGACATAATTTGTTTTCCTCCCTCCTCCTCTTTCAGTTGACTGCATCGCTGCAGTCAAAACAGAGCTGTCTGTGAGAAGAGTATGAAGGGGTGAGTAAAGAGGAGCAGCAGCAGGAGGAGGAGGAGGAAGAGGCAGATAGTGGGAGGAAGCGGGAAAGTGTCAGACAAATGGAGAGCGAGGTATTAAAATTGCATTAGAAAGTGAAACGCTGCAAAGTAAATGAAGGGAGGAAGGGCATGTTTAAAACTACAGTAAAATTTAATGGGTAGAAATACTGTGTGCTGTCTGGATAATTAAAACACCAGAGTCCCCTGAAATACAGCACTGCAACAATTATTTTTCCAACTGCACATGAACGCATCTTTCCAGAGGTCTTCACTGTCAGTCTTCAGTCTCAACTGATAATACATCTTTCATAGAGAAAAAAAATCAATTGTGCAGCCGAGTTAAAGGGGTACTCAATGTGCCTTACTATGTGAGATACATCAAGTTGCATTATGGGAAATGTAGGATCCAGGGATATTGGAGTTTGACCCAAGCTAGGGACTAAAGCTCCGTATCCTTGGCCTCTACTGCTTTGATTTTAACCATCATTTATACAAATGTCTCTCTTGAAGTTGCAGCAGTTTTCTTTTCACATGTTCTTCACAGGCGTCAGACTAGTGTTCAATTTACCTCTATAGTTTCTGCACTTTTAAGCGCTGCCTCACATTCAGTTTTATCTTGGGCCACTTTTATTTTGGAGGGGAACTTGCGTCTCTGTGAATGAAGTGAAGCTACAGCTCTGTTTCATAAGAACAACATGTACACTGTATTTTGTTGGATGGTGTGAATACTGGCTTTGGTTAAACTGAAATGTTGTTGTCCCAGGGCCACAAGCTGGTACTGTCTTCATCTTGTTTTTTGTTTTTAATTATTATGTTTTTCTTTTTCCTTTTTTTTTTTTTAAAGAAAAAGGTAATTTCCCCCAACGTTCCCTTTGAATCATCATCCGTTTTATCAATCTCACCGTTTCTCTCTCCTCTAGCTCGATTTTTTCAACCCCTTGCCGAGTCATTCTGTGATTCTACTTTCCCCCTGAGGATGAGTCCACCACATGTTGTTTTACACACAGATTAAACCTGGCACCTCCAGCTCCTCACCGGTCGTGGGTCGTGCTCAGTTCCCTGGCAATTAATTTCAGCGCTTTTTCTAGTCTTGTCTTGTGGTGTCCATTAAATTTCAAACGGTGTCTGGGACAGGCTCCTCTGCCTCCTGCTGGGTTCTCTTCCCCAGGATCAATGAGCCTTTTGCCCCCCCCCCTTACATCTCTTGAATCTCTATCAGCCGTTATTTCATCTCTTCTTGAAATACACTTCCCTATAATGCTCTTCGATCCACTTCTGTATTGTTGTGCGCAGAGGAAAACAATACAGACAGTTAATGGATGGTTGAAACCATGGAAACAGCACAAGCGTACCCACGGTGGCATTATTGTGCTAATAAAATAACAAAATGCATCTGAACAACACCAGTGGTATCCACTTGTTTGTCTTAGAAACCACAAGATGATGATCGATAATACGAGAGGATGTGGTTGTTAACTGCTCGGTGATGCGTTGCGTGTTGTGTTGACAGCTGGTACCACGTCTTTAGCTGCGAGTTAACTCAACTATCTTTAAATGGAAAGTCTCTCACTGGCTGTTTAGAGGCAGTGGTTTCCAAACTTTTCAAATTTCAACCTGTGAAGTACAAGGTGCTGCAAACTCAAAACTTTGCGTTTACTTCATTAAAATTAAGAAAATAATTTAAGAAGAACTTAAGAAATTAATTAATAAAACATGAATCATTGGATTTAAAGGAATGTCTCAATAATAAATAATACTTTTGTCAACAAGCACTTACCTTCCTGGATGCTGTAGCAGAGCTTCTCAGTGATGAACAGCTGGTTGATGGAGACTGTGCCAGACAGCTGCAACCGGGAATGTGACTAACATGAAGACATAACAGGGCGGTTCTGTAAAAGACCATAATTACTTTCCACAAGATTCTCTCTGCTGCAAGGGATTTGCTCTTATTTAGCCACAGGAGTATTAATCCGTGAGGCTGGCCACTGGTGTGGGGGTGTTGAGGTCTGGCTCGTTCCGGTTCATCCCAAAGGTGTCGGTCGGGGTTGAGGTCAGAGCGCTTCCACATCCAACTAAACTGAGAGAAACTATTTCTTTATTGTGCGTGGAGAGATACGGTCACAATGAAACCGAACTTCACCACACTGCAGTGTAAAATATCACTGTGCGCTGCAGCATTAAGATTCACCTTTCACTGGAACTCAGGGGCCATAAAAAGCAGCAGCAGTGGACGGGGATTTCTCTGTAACAGCTGAAGAGAGGTTTCCCTAAAATGTTTAGTTTTACTCAAACATAAAACAGGCTTAAAAAGACATTTACGGCCTCTAGTGGTGACTGGGGAGAACTGCAACACTGACCAACCTTCCCTAAGACACTGCTGCTGTAAAAGAAGAGTATACTTGACTTCACTTATTATCAGTGTGTCATGGAGTCATTTAGTTGGAAAACAAGGTTTTTCCAGTCGTCATAGTTCCAGTTTCAAAACAGCGGCGCAGGCCAGAGAGAGAGCTGAAGAAATCAGGAATTCAAGAAGGTAATTACTGAGTCATGGGCAACAATCAACAACAACCAACTCCCACGGCCAGATCACAGTCAGTGTGTTGTTTTTTGTTTGCAGTTTTTGTGCCGACAACCATCATTTTTAATGTGGCCTACACTTTGGATTTCAACAGAAAGGACAGTATAGAGTGAGACTGCCTAACACACACCTGCTCTCTTACCTGCAAATCTGTCATCCCTGCTCTAACATGACTGCCCTTACGTTTTCAACACACAGGATTTCACTGGTTTGACCTGGAACAGAAATGCAGACGTTAAAAACACTGACACCGTTTCACACCACAGGAGCCACGGTTTGATCTCAGTTTATTCAGTTACGCTGTCCAATCACAAAGGTTTATTTATACATTCATTACCATCATGAACAGTATAAAACCTTCTGGACATGCACGTCTTTACTGTACGTGTGAGTTTACAGTATGTTATACTTGATTAGTGCTCTATTTACAATTCCATAAAACTACTAAACATAACATAAATATAACATGCAGTATACATTTATGAACAAAATCAAAACGCCGGTTTTCACAACGCATCACGCAAAAGATGACATCCATCATTGGCCAGCAATGTCCCACATTCAAAACACTGCTGAAAAAGACTAACTCTTCTTTATATACGCTTCATAGGTCACAACTCTAAGCACTTTATTTTTTTATTGATAACCCAACAAACATTTCAAGTAAATCCAACTATTGCAACTGTTCTCTCCCTGGTCCTTCAGTAATCCACTGGGGGGAGGATTTCAAACACACGGCCAGTAAATCCTCTTTAAAAACCCACTGAATTATTAAAGGACTATTATATAAAACCTTTTCCACCAATTTGCAGTCTTCTCTGTGCGCACAAATAACCTCATAATGCTGCACGGAACATGGGAGGAACCAAAGTAGAAAAATGGATTTAAAAAAAATATTGAATTAGACAAAACAGCAGCAATTAAAAAAAAAAAGAAAAAATACACGGTGAGTCTTAAGGTTTTGGGATGTGAAGTACCTTTTTCACCTGAGATTAGATTTCTTTGTAAAAGAGCAGAAGATGAGCAGAACCGAGTGGCACTTAGAGCGGCTTAAAGCACTGAGTAATGCTGATTTAGAAGAAACACAGAGTGAGAAAGACAGAGATGTTCGTACAAACGTAAGTGACGTATGAGTGGAGCTGGGTATCATCTGAATGTTTTTGATACAAGGCGCCTGTTCAGTGCTCTAGTTTTATCTTCTCACTGCCTTACTTCACTGAATATGCAACATCTGGATGTGGCACCACGATGTCTGTACTCAGAGTAGCGAGGTTTGATTCCCATCCCAACATACAGCTCTTTTCTCACCTGTTCAAAAACCACAACGTGAGCGAAGGCCCCGTTCAGACCTGGTATTAACACGTGTCTCGGTGGACAAGCGGACAACTCTACGTTCAGGTGACACGTCTGAGATCCGGTCACTCAGACCACATTCGGAGGTGGCCGCCCACTCTCCTCTGCCAGAGTCTGATTAGTCTGAAAATATATACACACTTCTCACAGTGTTTCCAATACATTGATTTATTCGTGGTGACCAGCCACAATATCATCATTAATCTTTGTTTTTTTCCCTTTTCACTTTTTTTAAGTGGCTTAAATCTCATTTCATTATAGAGCTGTGTGCCACACATTAATTCCTCATCTCGCTCTTGCTATTCTGCTCTATTCTCCTCTGCCTTCATTTAATCTTGCACTTTAAGGAGATATTATCTATTTTATAATGTGTGTTTTCTCATGCTGTTTTCTTGTTCTTCTTTTTAATTCTCTTTTTATGCTTCTTTTATTTCTCTTAAGCACTTCACTTCTCCTCTGTGTATGATAATGTGCTATACAAATAAATGTACCTCGCTTGCTCTCTCTCTCTCTCTCACAAACACATAACAACACACCTGTCTGTCACTCAGACTGTCTAAAAACAACAACGCATTTGGTCTTTGCAGCAGAAATGATGCATGTGTTTATCTCATTACAGAGCGGGGGAAGTGAGATCCAATCACAAGATCGGATGTGATGTGATCAGATTAGCAGAGACTCATGTTAACACCAGGTCTGAACAAGGCCTACGATGATTGTTTGAGTGTTCAGCCGAATTGTAGAGTGTAAGGCAACTGCTAAACAGAAAAATAGTGTTTCATTTAGTTTAAAGACATTTCCTCCAGTTCAGTCAAGGTTGTCCAAAAAAGCAACATTGTCATTGCAGAAGAAACCTCGTTCTTTTCTTCGCCTTGCAATGAGAGCAGTTCCACGCGGACACGGACACAGCAGCAGTTCTCTAATCAGTGTTTAAAAGGACAGATTGTATCACATGTGTTCCCGCCCACTGACTCTAATTTGCAGAGAAACTAAAGAGGTTTCATTTAGGATTTTCTGATTCTCAATCTTAAGTAAAGCTTTAATATTATGGGCTATTTTAAAAAGCATTGAGCTACACTTGCTCTCAGTCAAAAGGCTATTTGTCAAACATGGTCCTAAGCCGCTGAATGACGACTAGTGTGTGGGGGGGGGGGGGGGGGGGGGGGGGGGGGTGTTCTGTTGCTCTGATATTGGCCAGATCTTACTGTACATGTATGATGTCACCAACTGCTGGTGTAAACTGAAAACGAGAAGCTAAGACAAATTGCCGCTTCACACAGATGTAATCCTTACTTGATATTTACCCGCAATAAAAAATACACATCTGCTGATGCAGACACAAACACCAATACTGAGACAACATCACCCACTCAGCTGAATTATTTTGTTCCCACTTCCTTTCTAAATTGGAAATAAAACAGAACATTATGATATTAACACATTAAAACTACAATTTGTACCATTTAAAAAAAAAAAAAAAGATTAACAGCAAAAACAATGTGCAAGTCTGCATGGAAGCCTCCGCTCGTCTCTGGAGAGGAGGAAAAGGCAAGTCTGTCGCATTTCCTGAAAGGGTTTCTTTTCTTTTTCTTAATCTGAGTGACAGCATTTAAATAGTAAAGCAAGATCTTAGATAATCGACACAGGCATGAGCATGTCATGTAACAGTGCAAGTGTTAAATATCCAGGCATTCCTCATTCTCTCGGGCTAATGTACACTGTGGATGTGAGCGTCATTCAGTGAAGAAGTGTGTGGCCTTAAACAAACCAAAACTCCCAAAACTGAATATCACACACATACACAACTGTCAGTGATTACTCATGGATGCTGTACAGTGCTGTAAATTCGCTAATCTACAATTATACCACAGTTAGGGTACAGTATCACATCATGTAACTGGTATTAAGCCAGGAGTGACTTTTATTGTCACACAGCTGTGTAAGTTGCGCAAGAGAGAGAGCGTTACTGATATATATACACACACACACACACACATACATACATACATACACACACATATATATATATATATATATATATATACATGTATAATTTGTGAGTGTGTGTGCACAAGGCAAGGAGTGTGAACTTTTCCACATTGCAGACAAGCAGCAACTGCCCCCTTCATTTATGGCTTTCTCGACATTTATCATATCAACATCCAGATCGATCATTAATAATTCTCTCATCTCAGCTTCCACTCTCTACTAGATATGTAGTTTTTCACTAACTCAAAGTCTTATCAGTACTTAACAGTTCATTTTAAAATGGATTATCCACTGGGGAAAACAGTTTACTTGTGGAGACAAAGTTCTCAGAGTAAAAATGACTCTCTTCTGTATGTTTAAGTGCAGGATGTTTCCCATGACACGACCACTGTGCCTTTTAAATCTATCCATCATCATTTCCTACAGTGCTTTTTTTCCCCCATTGAGAGAGAACTATATATCACATCATGTAACATTAAACTTTTCCTTGATTCAGCATATTTTTTCTACATTGTCGTTCTGTCTGAAGAACCTCTACTACAGGAATAACGGTCATGTAAATAAAACACGCTGCCTCTCTACTGGAGGTCCATTTCATTTCAAGTGAGAACGTCTCACTGCCGCATCTTTGCGATGTGATGCGCCACATGCTTTGTTGCTCCTGCAGGACGTTTCTCTGATAGAAACATTTAGAAGCCCGTCACAAGCTAACGCCACAGCTGATTGGTTTATCTAAGTCTTTCAGCTCAGAGCTCTGAATGGTTTGACTCACTCTCTATCCTGGAACTACATCAGACTGTCTGACCAGTCTGTCAGTGGTTACCCACAGGTTAGTGTATGTGTGCCTATGTGTGTGTGTGTGTGTCTGTGTGTGTGTGTGTGTGTGTCCGTCAGCACCAGTGTTCACGCTGGGCTCTGCCTCGGGCCAGACTGTCTGCCCTCTGCCAGGCGCTCTTCATCAGGCTGAGGGCTTCGCTACAGCGCTTCTGCACCGACGGATCAGACACGACTCTGTGGGGAAGGTCGACCTGTGCACAGTGAGGACAGAAGACACTTCTCAAACACTGGCTTGAGTCAAACCAGATCTGTGATCATCTTTAACTCAGTATGCAGCAAAATGTATTTGTCTTTTTTTTTGTAGGAATGTTTTTTGTTTTATGTTACCTGCCTAAATTAGCATTTCCGCTACTATTGTAATATCACTGTACTGTCCCTTTAACCTATGATAATGAAAGACTGCAGTATCTTCTGACCTGGAAAACAGCTTTCCATGTTCTGTCTAACGCCTCCAGCAGTCGATCTCTCTCTTCACAGCCGCTGAAGTACAAAATCCATGGAGGGAAGAACTGAGACCGATCTGCTGCAAACTCCTGGACACAAGACAGAGGGAGAAAGTGGGAAAAACCCAGAGGAGGCTCCTAAACATAAGAGAATTATGTTCCTCGTAGCGCAGGGTGAGTCTATAATGTATCATGCTGGGTTAAATATTATTTTGTTACAGACTCAAAACAGAAATATAGACCCATCAGAGACACCTGACCTGTAAAGCTGAATACCACTGACACAAGTTTACAGTTTGTTTAGTATAAACTGCAGTGAGATGTATAATGTGTGCAGGCAATGGGAACTGGAACTACTTTATTTGCATTAGCTTACTGAGGTGCTGTTTCCTCTAAAAGGGTTTGATTGAATTAATTCAGTTTTTAACTTAATGTCCATTTGCTTACAAAATAATCCTGAATGAATCCTGAATGTGTCATGTACATCACACATGAATGAGTACATTTGACTCACGATGACGCAGTACTCCTTGTCAGCCTCCACGCTGACGGTGGTGACGTCAGAGATGTCGACGCTGCCCAGCGAACGGAAGAAGCTCGTCTGACAGTCCTGATGGCAGGTCAGCAGCTTCCTGTCTGTGACCACCAGGCAGCATGGGATACATGGGGTGGGGGCCACACCCTGAGGGATGACCTGGAGATGATATGGTTGTAGTTTAATTATACCTCGAGCATGGACAGTGCATGTGACAGACTGATGGAAGGTATTTAGTTTGACAGTATTTACATACAGAACAAAGTTAAATGGTTTTATTTTGAAGGGTTTATATGGACTCTGTAAACCCTGTGTGCACCACTGAAAACATCCATCACTGTCTCCCAGTGTCTCTAAAAACACCAGCTGCGTTTCCATCAACATATTTTTATATTTAAGTATCGCAGAATAAAAAGTCAATTGCTCAAAAAAAGTTTTTACACTTGCCTTGCCTGTTTGTAAAAAGAGTTAATGAACTTTATGGGAGATGGAAACACTTTTTCTGAATAAGTTCGGACGTGGCAAACATTCAACTCACATGAGTGATCAGCTGTTTCTGCTTCTAGAGAAGATGAAGAAGAAGAAGAAGAAGATGATGAAAAAAGAATTAAAAATTCCTCAAGCCCCCTCTGCATTTTCTCTCATAGATGGCCAAGACAACTGGTTGTGTTCCTTCTTCTTCTTCGAGGTTGTTTTGGCGGTTGGCAAACAACTTGTTTTGTTTCCAGTTCGCGACCTCTACTTCTTCTACTCTGTTTATTACAGCCATGTGTAACGTAGCCTTTACCGCCACCTTTAGATGACGCTATGCAGCCTAGTTTGTTTGCTCCAAACCAGTTCATGAAAACGCACCTAATTCATACTTTCTTTTTTTTTCACATTTCAAAACTTTGCTTCTAAGTCACTTGACAACTATACGTTATCATGACTACGGAGATAAATGCAATACTTGAAATATGAAAATACACGGTGTGTGCAGTGTGCGACTCTCTCCCCTCACCCCTTTGGAGACGGACTGGCAGAGCAGCTGCATCCAGTCGGCCATGTCCTGCTCGTTGTTGGCGCTAAGCTCCAGTGGGGGGCGCTCTGTCAGGATGACTTGGAAGGCGTGGGGACGCTCTGTGCTGTTGGAGCGACGGCAGCCTCCGCAGTGCTCCCCTCTGCACAAAGAGCATGAAAATACAGCAGTGAGCATGGTGTAGTTTACAGTAACCATCTCCGGTATCGTGTTTCAGACACTTGGATCTCACCCCATAGTGACGGACAGCAGCGGGATCACATCAGTTCTCTCTGCATACATGTAAAGAATCCCATTGCTGCAAGAACAGAGGACGGCTGTTTATATTCATCTAATCAGAAGCTCATTACATTATAGTATAAATATATAGCATTTCTAATATAATTACAATGCATTATGAGCGTGAAAGAAGACATCGATATCTAATGTAGATGGGCCTACAGATAACTAACACTAATTTTAAGATATTATTATGATTACTGTAACAGACCAGACTGCAGCCTTGTCCCTGTGTTTTATGATCGGTGTCTACCTCTGGCCAGCTTTTCTCTACACACAAAACAGAGCTCAAACTTTGAGTGTGTCTGACAGTGGCAGATGGTGAATGAAAAGCCAAAGGAAATATCACTTCCAATATGTTTGGCATCTTTCAGGGTGAAGCTGGGACGTAAAAACTGACAATTATGGTAAATGTGTTCTACACTTTTTTGGCACGAAACACACACACACACAGTTTGTTGAAATGCCATAATATTACAATGGGATGTGACATGAATGCTTATGTTTTTGTGAGAGAAAGTGACACTGGAAACACTTTATAATGTCACCTGTATAGAAGGTCGTATCGAATCCAACCAACGTGTCTTTAAACGAACATAAATACCAGTAGAAAAGGAGACCGACGGGTTTGACCTGTCCGTACCTGAGGACTAGGTAGCAGCTTTTCCACAGCTCTTTGCCCAGGTAGGTGGTTCCAGACCGGTACTGCAGGGTCCCTTCCTTGGTGCTGAAAGGTGCTCCAGAGCTTGGTGGGCCACCTTGTGGAGACAGAGTCATGTCCATAGGATCCTCCCAGTGGACCAGTGAGTAGAGTTGGATGGACACTTCTGATACCTGGAAAAACAGGGAGGCATTAGGTCATTAGTCTTTGAATATGAGAGTGATAAAACAGGGAGGACCAAACATTTTCTAGAATGAAACATGTTATCAGTGTTATGGCTACTGAGCTTCTTCAGCATTAATTACTCTAAATGCATAGATTACGCAATGTCCTTATCCGTGCACATTCTTGGAAGTGTTTTGCATGATTTACTTTAAACCGTGTGACATTTTCATTACTGATGACTTCCAAAGAATAAAGCAGTATTTTAGATTTCTGAATTCTGTTATTTTCTACTTTCCGGACAGCCAGTTTTAAAATTAATTTAGGATATGAAAACTGAGTTAGGTATTTATCAGAGTGAACATAACGTTTGCAGATGGTGACACAGTCCAAAGAAAATCTGCACGGCGTTACTCTGCATTTTTCAAGTAATTTATCTTGTCATTTTTACAAGCTGTGGATCATAAATCCATCTAAAAAAATATATGTGCAGCTGTCAGAGTTATAGTCTGACAGACAGCAAGCTGTAACTGAAAATCGTCTTGTGTAAGATTTTCCTAACAGCTGTTTCTTTTACTGTTTCTAGTTTCTAGTGCAGTGGGAGAAGTCTGACCTGTGGTGCAGAGCGACTATAAGTTCAACAGTTCTTTACCTCACAGTGAGACTCCTGGGAGACAAACTTATTGAGAGCCAGTTTTTCCATGGTGGCATCGGTCAGAACCGAGGGGTAAGGAGGCTCACGGCAACCCTTCACCATGGCTGACTTCAGCACAGACAGGAACCAGCTGTATCAAAGAAGAAGGGTGAACTGGATGAGGTCAGAGGACGCCGTTTGTGACGTGTCCTGTATTGCTCTATAAAGTCAATAGTCTCGTTCTAATATTATGCAAAAATACTACTTTAACAAACTATTGGTTGTAATAGACTAAATTCATGGTTGAATCTATGAGGTTCACATTCTTATGCATTGAATAATCTCTATCAGAGTCAGAGTATTACACAGGTATAACTGTACACTAACAAAGTCAGTGAGGCATCAGCTGTGTCCAACAGGAACTTTCTTCGTCTGTTGGTGCAAACCACCGTCACTGTCTGTTGGTCAAGGCCCACCTACAGGAAAACAACATTACAACTGATTTATTAGACACAAAACTAACTCCATCGCTGCTCCATCACCCTAGCTGTAAAAGTCTGCATGGTTCATGAATATTATGCAATTAACTCTCGCCTTTACTAAGTCATACATGTTTGTAACATTAAGGAACTTTGAAATAAGAGGACAATATGAAAATGAAGGCGAATGTTTACATATATAAAACAAACAACTGTCAAGTGCATTGACAAATGAGAGATAATAGTAAACTCTTGTTGTGCAGGACACTTACTGAAAGATAATCCAGCTCATTATAAGAAACAGCATCTTCAACTGTGTAGGGTTTCTCTGCTGCGCCTGTGAAGAAAATCAAACGTCGATAAAGTTCCTTTTTTACCTTCAGAATAATCTTATCTCTCTGGTTTGCCGGTACAGGTGGACACTGTTTATGTAAAGATAAAAAACCATTGCATTGTCCAACTTATGATTTGAACCGTTCCACCCCACATTATAAAACAAAGCCAATGCATGCTGGGTCTTCAGCCACTCACCCTTCCTTAGCAGGTAAATGTAACAGTCAGTCAGGAGCAGGTAAAGGGGCTGCAGGTCCCCCTCCATGTGGCCTGTGCTCATCCTCACCATCTGAAAACACAAAGATAAAATGTTCTGGGTCCTGGTGACTGGGTACAAGCATGTTGCCATAAATATAGCAGACGGACTGTAGACATACATAGATACTGATCCATGACTAGACGTTGGATTTTATGAATAATGACAAACCAGAGCCATTTTTACACTAAATACATCCGTGTTTCTTGTTTACACACAGAATGGTGCAATGTTTGAAATAGTGTGATTTTTTTTTTTCTTAACTGACAGCAGACAGTTAAATTACTACAGCTTGAGTAAATGTGGTGAGAAAGCAACTGGCAATCTGAGCCTTGCAACACCTCGACTGAGCAACAAACCACGTCTTTGATATCAGAACCAGCATGAGTGAAACAACACACAAACTGGTGTGAAGATGTGAGAAAGAGGACGACTTGTCAAGACAATCAAGTTCTTTTACATGACACCAACATACTGCTGTGAAGCCATTAAAAGAAATGTGGACTGTCACTACTTTCAAAATGAGTAAAAATAAAAACGACTCTCTCTCGTCTTCACCTTGAAGAGCTGCTCCTCATTCTCTCTGAATACATGGATCATAAGAAGCAGCAAGTGGTTGTTGTCCACCCTGAAATATCAAAAGTGGATAACATTAGATATTGGACAACATTACAACAGCAAACAGCTGATTGTGAAGAAGCTTCTTACTTAAACTCTGCAGGGTGAGAACTTTCTGAGGGACTGAGCTTCTGCTCTTGTTGTTGTTGTTGTGCTTCCTCAGTAAACGTGTTCTGGTCTGTTTCCACTCCTTCTACGCCTTCCTCCTCCTGCCTCACGTCGGGCTCCGGTCCTGCTTTCTTTTTTGCCTCTCCTTCATCTTCAAGGCCACCTGAAAGAGTCTGTGGCTGGCTAAGCTCTGTAGAGTCATTGCAGCCACCACCTGTGGGAGCAGAGTCTGGACCGTTGGGGGTAAAGCAGCATAATTCTGTAGGCGCAGGAGAGGCCTGCAGGAACCTGGGGCCTGTGGCCAGAGCGGAGTGAGACGTCTTTCCTGGGGCCGGGTCAGGTGGTTCGCCGCCTGAGTCCTCACGAAAGGGCTGCTGAGCGGGGGGCTCGGGGCCCTGGTCACAGCCTTCACTAGTTTTCCCCTCCTCCTGGCGCTCCCAGGGCTCCTCCCTATCCAGAGCCCCGTTGAGTCGGTCCATGACGTCCCGGAGGGGTTGGCCCACACTGTCCATGGAGGTGTCCGTCATCTCTGGGAGGCGTAGGAGGTCGACTACCTCATCCTCGTCTCCTTCCTCCACAGCCTCTGATCCCACCCTGCCTCTCCTCAACTCTCCTTCGCCGTCCACATGGATTACAGTGCAGTTTAATGAATCCACATCCTCGGAGGCCAGGAGGCTGCCGTCCATGTCCATGTGATCAGAGGAGATCGAGTTATGGATGCTGCTGCTGGAATCTGTGGAGCCCTTCCCTCGTCGCTTCTTGGCTGGTTTCCTTCTTCTGGCCATCCTGGAACGACACAGTGGTTATCTGCGTTTCCTCGGCTCTAAACACAGTTTGATTAACACTGCAGATACAACGTGACCTTCCTACTGTACCTGATGACCTCCAGCTCGTTGTTGGTGCTCTCCGTGTCATCTCCAGCGGCGGTGGCGTTGTGGCGGCTGGCCACGTGAACTGGCGTGACGTCGGCCGAGGTGTTGGTGGTGTTGGTGTCGGAGTCCTCGTTGAAGGGGTTGTGTCTGGATGTGGGGCTGTGCGGAGGAGGATGAGCTGCTGCCTTCGCCTTGACAGTGCCGGTAGAAAGGACCATCATGTCGCTAATGACTGTTTGGGGATCAGAGCCACTGGATCGTGGGCAGCTCGCCTGGTCGGTCAGGTCACCCTCTATCATGAAAAGTCACAAGAATAATAATGCAGAAGCAGCAGTTACCCACATTTACTTCTGTGTATTCAAAGAAATGCACTGAAGTTTTAGCACCGTCTCGCTGAGCTGAGCGACAGATGGAAACATCACAAAGTTTTGTTTGAAAAAGTAATTTAGGGAAGAGTTGTTTCTACTCATATATGTTTACGTTAGTACATCTATTTCAATCAGTATCAGAGAGTCGACCAGCGAGACAATTTCACTAAAACTTAGTGTATTTCTTCATCAGCATCGCACACAAATAAATGTTAGGGGCTGCAGTGTTCTTCAGGGTCAGAGAGGCACAAAATGCAGCGTTTATGACATCGAATAAATACACAGGCAGCAGCTTTTCTTTGCAGTGGCACAGGCCTAGGTCACAGGTCATGCACAACAAATACTTGAATTAGAGAACTTCCAGAAATCTGTATTTTTTTGTTTTCATTCATCATGACTGGACTGACTGAAGTACGGCACAGACAGAGTCCCCAGAGACCTTTCTTTTATGCTGTTTCTACTACTTTTATCAGCAGTCATGTCTTCATCAGAACTACAAAAAATGTAACAGCTTACAGCAAACCAATGCGGTTGTATTGCACAGCAGTTACAGCTGAGGTGAACCTAGGCCAGTGCCACGCATCGCACATGAAGAGAAGACATTACGAGAACAACAGCAGACAGACAGACAGATAGATACACAGTGTACTGAGACAGACTGGACGAGGTGAGTACCGGTTACGTCAGGCATTTATCTTGCTGTGGTAAATAACAAGGCCAAGTGAGCGCCAGGATCATTCCCCAGATGAGAAACACATGCAGAACATGACAGAAAACAGTTCCATGAACACACCCAACACTCCCCAGATAAACCATACTTACCAGTCAACTCACTGTGCAAGATGACGCCTTTTATTTTTGTGTTAATTTAACTATTTCTATTAATTATCTTTAATAAAACTTTTCTAAAAATGTGTGTGCACTGTCACTTTTTACTGCAGCTAAAGGTGCAGCAAACGTCTCATCTCACTGCGCTGCAGAACAGAGAGGTTCAGGAGATCCTTCATTCCCACTGCCATCAGGCTATACAGCACCTCAGCCAAAGGAAGTGGCCTAATCTAATTATTATTGTTTTTTTATTATCATCAACAATGAGCTAATGGACACATGAATTTCCCCTAGGGGATAAATAGAGTATCCATCCATCTAATGTGTGGAAAAGAAGCTTTTCAGTTACATCAACATTCATGTTTCATGTTTCCTGTAATGGTCGAAGGGGTTTGTTTGTACAATAATAAATTAAGCTACAGGTTTCCTATTTAATCATAAAATCCAGTTGCACAGTAATCATAGTCATGTGTCACCCAATGTTGGATTCAAACACACATGCCAAAATCGAGGCAGGTGTAACCATGTCCCTTTCATCATGCTAGTTTTCATGTCTTCAGATCAGCAGTATGTTTTTACCAGCTAGCTGCATTTTACAATTAACATGTCTAATTATTGCTTAGAGTACCCAGCATGAATTTTTTCAAGTGTAAGCTGTGGGATGGCCATGCCAGAGAGGAGGGAGGCAAGGAAGGAGGGAGGGAGGAAGGGAGGGATGGAAGGGGTGGGGGGTGGGGGGTTGACCAATGTCCCACCTTCCCAGTCTGCACTTGGCAATGACTGCAACACGGGGAAGATGTCACCGAAATCATAATCTAAAAAAAGGAGGGATAACATTCAACATTAGAGAGATGGTGAGGAGAGAGGAGAGAGGAGAGACTGAGACAATGGCACAGAAACAGAAAAAAAATAACACGACATGTGGTTTTTCAAAATAACTGAATTGGTGGAGAAAAATAGACAAGTGAGAACTAAAACAAGGGAACTGACTATGGGGAAAGCATTCACTGGGTGCTGCAATCACCCCCAGTGAGAACACTCTGTAACGGCCGGCCTCTGAACACCACGTGATCCGTTTGATAAAAATGCACTTTGGTGTTTGAGAGTCACAAGAGTCAATAAGGATCAATCCCACTTCTGCTTTCACATGCCATTAGCGTGACATCACCATAGGACTTCCTGCCAAAGCATGAGTGTGTGCTCCGCACTCCAGCAGGGTCAGACCTCATCATAAACCCAAAAATAAAGTCTGCCGTTCATTTCATAGTCATTCAGCAGTAACATTAATGTAATGATAAGTGTCCAGATTAGAGCCATTTTAACAGCACATAGAACTAAACAAGATATTTGATGAGGGTCATTTAAAAAGGTGCTAAAATAGTGTAAATGCTGATTAAGTGAAGCAGGGGAGCAAATAGGGAGGGAGTGCACCTACCTTCACTGGAGGGGGCTATGGCACTGTCATCCCACTCCAGGTTGGTGGAGGTGAGGGAGGTAAAGGAATGCAGGGACAAGCTGTCTGAACTGGGCAGCCTTTCCTCAAAGTCCAGCAGGTTCTGGGGTTTGTAGTATTCTGGCATGTAGGGGGCCACATCCAGGTATGGCACATCCTGACCCAGCGGGACCCGACAAGAATGTTACCGACGTGGCGCTAAACATTTAACCTTTGTATTGGATATTGTAATGAAAGAAATGCTAACCAGCTCCAGATTGAAGCGAATGAACTCCAGGCCGGACACCAGTGTGAGGAAGAGCGTGAGGTGGTCATGGCTGCAGACCAGAGCGTTCCTAGAGGAGAAGGAAATCGAACATTTACTTACCACTAGGAATGGTTATTGTTAAGATTTTAACGGTACTGCTACTTTTATCGATACTGCTTATCCTGTTTAAAAAATGCTGATGGTAAATGTGACACTACATCAATTTGTTCTCCGGCATAAAAATAAAATAAAGCAATCCCTGGAACCTAACTTCCACTTGATCACTTTGAAAGTCTGCGGTTCGACCTTGTCTTTCCAGGTAATCAAGATCAGGATAAACAGACGACTTACTTGAAATAATACTTCTGCAGTAGACCTTGGTTCTCCTGGAAGAGGCGCAGGTAGCTCTCTAAAGAGCTCTCACTCAGTGCCAGGTATAACCACGCACGACCTGCACAGAACAGAGAGGACTTCTTTTCTATAGGTATACTGTGCATGTGAGTGTGTTCGACTGAATGAGAGAGATGTCTCACTTCGACCGAGGTTGGTTGCTATGTGCTGAAGCTCATCTATCTGGCGGACAGCCTCTCTCCTGGTGAAGTGGAGGACGAGGACCCAGTAGCCTGAGGAGATGTCCTGCAGCCTGCAGTGTTGAAAACAATGAAAAGAGGAGTGGAGCGATCGCATTGGAACTAAATTCATCCACACCTTGATCAATTATTTGTAGCTTGAGTCTAAACACTGTAAAAATCCCCCAAAAAGCATGTGTTGTGAGAATTAACATGGAGGAACATGAGGCTTGTGTATATGCTGAAAATGGAAAAATAACAGTTACAAAAGGGACTTTCTGCATGACAAAAAAAAAAAACACAAAATAGATCAGATTACTACTTGGACTCTGCACCTTTCCCTCTCCAGTGTGCACTCTACTCTCAGTAAGCCTCTTACCCATACAGCAGAGCATGGTCAAGGTGTTCACACAGGCGCTGCAGGACCCGGTCGTGGTTCCTGATGGCTGGAGTCTCATCTTCACAGGCCGCAAAGTAACTCTGCAACTGCAGAAAGACATGATTTCTCTCCTGTTTGTTTCACCGAGGGAAGGACACTTTTACCACGAAAGATACAGTTTTCAAATGATACTCATTATGGTATTTATTATAGACTGTGAGGTTGGACTCATTATGACTGGTTGCAGAGGAATATATTTACTATCATTTTTATTATTGCATTAACATGAAACTAGCTCCAACATAAAACATAGGTTGCAATTTACTGTTGTGTGCACCGTTACCTCTATTAAGCTCTTATTCGCAGATGCTCAGCCAATATGGCCTGGTGAATTGCTCTCAGAGGAAGTTGGTGAAAGAGCTTTTAAAAGCATGCAAATGTGGATATTATGAAATCGCTTTAATGCAAACAAGCCAGTAATGGGAGTTCTCTATTACCCGTAATGAATTAATAACATGATTATTGAGTCATCTCATTGTTTTGTACTCCAGCACACAGGATATGAAACAGAACATATACGATAAATAAACAACCACACAGCGCACAGTGCAGCAGGACAATGATCCTACAGTAAAACATAAAGTCAAAGTAACAAAGGAATTTAGGGCCGAGCAGTGGAATGCTACTGACCTAATCCAAATGAGTGTGTTTGACTGCTGTGATTCCAGAGCTTGTGCCCCTTGCATTTCAGTTTTACAAGAAACCAATGAAACAAGCAGTAAGTGAAGTTTGCTGCAGCACAGGTCTGAGAGAGCATCACCAGAAAATGATGATGTCGTCTGTGGGTTGTAGACTTAAGCCAAGTATTTTCAAGTATATTTGGTCCCATCAATTTGGAGGACTACATATTAAAGGGGCTACAATTCCTATTTTGTTGATCTGATGCGGATATAATTAATAATCAAAAGGTGACACTTTTACCCTTCTAGAGTCAGTGTTTTATATCAAACCCAGTGTGCTGGCATACAGAACAAAAGCAACACAAAACGTGCTGCAGTCTCAACGTTTTCCTTTCTGAATGCACTACACTAGTAGGTATCTTATTGGAAGACTAAATTTCTACTGACTGCTCTACTAAAAAGGTATCATTTGCAGATGATGCTAAATGCGTGTCATTGTGGTCCTCTCTCCTTCACTGACCTGCAGAGCCTTCTTCAACTTTAACCTAATATAGAGTGCTGAAGCGTGAGCAGCCCAAGTGTAGGTCAGAGCTTTGACCCAAACAGAGAAAATTTGTGTCCTGTGACCATCTCCACATGACTAAGCAATGTTTGTCTGAGATAAACACTGTACACTGTCTAGGAAGCTTGAGGCGTAACACTTCATAAACACTTGTTGTCATTACAATCAAAGACATAAAATGGTTAATTGACCTAAAAAACAAACTTAGATAAAACTTGTAGATTATGGAGGTAGGACACACACGCTGGGCTCGCTGCATTAAACACACTAAGATGGTGCTTTCTAATGCAATCATCTGATTATGGGTCTGGTAGACTTGTAATGGTAAATAACTGAGAAAAATTATATGAGAAAGGCCATGCAAAATAAAAACCCAAATGCATAGTTTTGGAGAGTGAATGTATAAACATGCATGTAGGAGGAGGAGGAAGATGCAATGCTGTCTGTCAGGTTGTGAGAGAGGTGGTTTCACAACGCCAGACATTAACTGCACATAAAGATCTAAAATATTTCACAGCTTGGATGGAAATTTGGAGCAAAGATCTACCGCTAACCTTGATGTTGCAATAATATGTGTCCGTTTTATGGCTGCAGGTATGTTAACAACACATTCCGCAGTGAGCAAACACAGGGGCTTGGTGTTACTATTGTTCACCATGGTGAAAAAGATAAAGTAGAACATGACAACAGATATCTGGAGCTGTGAAATATCAAAGTGAATTGAGATATCATAGGGAATAATCAATACTTTGTTTGATTATCAGTATCAGAAAGGGCAAGGCCCTTCCTTGACAGTAAGCTGGTTATGCCCCCCCTTCCGACTTGAAAGTTGCCCTCTTTGGCAGACAAAAGATTGACCTAACGTTAGCTACAGTAACTTAATCATGTGAAAATGGTAAAATCCTGTGACAATATAAAAGTGTGACGACCAATGGGGCAGCGCTTACCTTCTTGACAGACAGGGAGATGTTTTCCAATATACGATCCTTTACTTTCAGTTGATCCATCACTGGTCTGTTGGCAGCTTACAGCAGGTTGTCAGCTGACTCCCGAAGCAGAGCTCTTGTTTTGCTAATGCTACCGCCGCCCGCCTTAGCTAGCTAACATGATCTTGTCCTCCAGTGCAGCTGGCTCCCAAACTAACGACAGGGCTGAAGCTGTCAACTGTACACACTGATCTTTTCTAACAGCGCTGTTAGTGTTAGCTCACAACTTTCATGTTAACGCCTTGCAAGCAGCGTGATATGTCGACCGCTGTCAACGGCTCCGGTTAGCCAAGTAATGTTTGCCTAGCTTCGCGTTAGCTGTAGCCACTTGACTTTTTTTCTTAAACGCTACTCAAGCCGGGGGTGGCTAGCAACTTTTAGAATCCAAACATGGGTAAATTTTAGCGGCAGTTTTATATTCCATACTCTCCGTTTGAGTCCTCTGGTTAGCTGTCTTGAATTACTTTAAGTTAGCTTTTCGCGAATTTGCCTAAATAGCGAATTACATCAAACTTTTTGTGCTACTAACCTAAATGCTCTAGACTGAACCCCTTCAGTCAATGGGTTACGTCATCACTAGCCGTTGTACGCCTCATTAACGTGTAGGAGGACACAGATATTAACCGTCATGTTCCTTTAAGATTCTGCATCACAAACAAAAGTAGAGAAATACATCTGAAAATATCACATAAAAATTAATCCAACAATGATTTACGAATATTGATAACAAATGTACTTTTTGTAAGACTGAACATGAAAGCATAATTCATTTGTTCTACGGTTGCTCATATTGTACTACATTCTGGAAAGACTGAAATTTACATATCACGCAAAACATCACGTGTCATCAACATTGGACAGAAAAATATTTTCACATATTTTGTTTGTAAAGATAACAATTTATGCAATATTAACCTCCTCATTTTACTAGGAAAATGTCATATTCATAAGGCGAAATATCTTAAATAAATTCCCTCATTTAATCTGTTTCTATTTGATCTTGAACGTTACTTTGATTCTCCATTACTTTGAGATGTCCAGGTCAGCAGTTAATAGGCCATCTATTCTGAAATGTTTGTCTGAAGAAGTCTGTCACTTAAAATACGTATTTGTCCTTTTTAAAATTTATGTAAATTTTTGTTGCTTTTCTTAAAAAAAAAAATCATCTTTTTTTGTTGGAATTTGATTTGTTTCTTTTGTTTAAGGACTGTCATGCCCAAGACTGTTTCAACTTAATTTACTCTTAAATAAATCTTTGATTTGGTTCATGCTGTCCGTTCACGCAGATTGACTACGAAGAACGACAGATAGATCTATGGCCAGACTGACCGGTAGTTTCTCAAAAGTTGCTAAAAATCAAAATTAAGTCATGCTGTATAATTATACTAAATTCGTTATTTGAAAAGCTGATACAGATTTAAATGACCATATTTTCATACTGGGTCTGGCATAACTAGTGTCCAGATCAACACCTTAGTCTCCATGACCGTACGTCACAATATTCAATATTCAATATGAATGTTTTAGGTCTATGAGACCGCTTTAAATGCATTGTGAAAAATCACACCATTATGTCATGTCATAAAAAGGGCGGGGGTTTCTATTAAGTGGAATGTCAGTATTTTATTGTTAAGATGACTCCAGCTTTTTTTGGAAACACATTAAAGTCTTATCAAAAACAAAACAAAAACAAAAACTGTTGGCATATTCAGTGCATGTCGTTTCCACAATAACGTTTCCTGATTGAGAAAATGTGGGTCAAATTTTTAAGATGGATTTCTTTCATGTTCCAAGGCAAGTGCTCTACTTAGATCATTTTATCAAATGTAAAGCAACTTTATACAAACACTGACGGACTTCAGAACATATACAGATGTTTTAGTGATGTCAAAGTAGGGAAGGAAAAAAAAAAAAAAAAAAAAAAAAAAAAAAAAAAGCAACCACTGCATTGCATTACAGTCAGCACCCCCTTTTGTCTTCAAGACCCCGATTAGTTGAGAGACCCAATAACCGAACAGAAACTGTATTTTTAATGGAGGACTGCTGTCCAAGTCCCTGCGTGAAGATTCAAGACATTCAATTTCTACTCTTCACACCACAAGTTCAAATTTTATAATCTCTTTTTCCCCCTTCCCTGTTTGTCTGCATTAGTCTGACTTCTCCTTCTCTTTCATGTGCAGGAAGACTATGCTGAAGACAAAGAGCCCCGACATCATGGAGAAGACGCTGGCGTAGTATGGGAAGGCTGAGGGGATGAAGCGCTCGTACTGAGTGTGCTGCAGGGGACGCACCGATACCTGTGGTAAAGAAAGGCAGTTGTAGAAATTAGCCCACCATTCATTCATGTGTCCATTATCAACAAGGGCAAAGCTCTTAGATAATACACCACGGTTTTAGGAGCTTGTCCTAAGGGTCAGCTTGACTGCACAGTGATGAGTGCACAGAAAATATCCACACTTCACCACAGAATATGTTGAGCAGAAGGCAACTAGGATATTAAGTGTGGTAAAAAAAAATATATGTTGATAAGCCCAGGTGAGGTGAACAGTCAGATGAACTTGCCTGAGTGGAGGAGTAGAGGTGTGTGTACCCCAGACGGTTGTAGTCCACCTTGAACTGGAAGACTCCGTACACATCAGGCAGTTTGAACTGGACGCTGTATTTACCTCCTAACAGAGATACAACACAGTTTTTATAGTGGACACAGTTTATGACAGCGAAGGCGTGTTTTAAATAAGTTAACAAGAACAGAAACGCACCGTTTTTCTTGAGGTAAGTCCTGACGAAGGGATCGATCCTCACAAACTCCAGCTGAATATCATCTCCATCGAAGGGGACCCAGCGGCCCTCAGACAACATCTCGATGACGATGCTGTATTCCTGCGTGGGAACGTTTTACAATGATTGAGATGTACAAGTACAAACACTCAGCTCCTCATTCAGGCTAAAAAAACAAACACCTTCAGGGTGATGACTGTTCACATGAAACTCACCACAAGGTCAGTGATGGTGTATGCTGCTGGGGGAGTGTTCTCTCCCACAGGATGATGGGTAACAGCTCCCACTCTGAGGACTCCGGCCTCCTTGAACACCCAACGGGACAGAGCCTCGGCGAGCTCCATGTTCCCGGTCTGCTTGTGCCTGACAAAGACCACGACAAGGAGAAGAGGGCTTTAATCACCGTGAACTGTAACCTGGACAATCAGCCTCTGATGGGATGCAGTTTGTTTGATCAATTATAATGTAAGTTCTGTAATCAATGTTTTTATTGTTTGTCAGCAGCAGGATAAAAGTCCATTTCCACCCTTTCCTTCTTTGGTGTTGTTTGAGAAGTTTCCATTTGAACATGCAAAGGTCTAAATTTTAAAATGCTGCTATTAAGCAAAAAAAATATCAGCAAACTGCCCAACTGTCATTGCAGTCACATATATTACAGTTTTGGTTTTTGTTAAGTAGAGACTGTAATAGTATCCAGGGGTGTGATGTACAGTGGCCCACCTCTGGGACCCGGGTGTGGCCTTCTGCACAGCAGAGTTGAAGAAGGCGTCACTGAAGAAGTCCAGGGAGCCGCTGAAAACCACTCTGGCATTGTTCCTGGCCTGGAGGCCAGCGATCAGCAGGGTGTTCTTGCCAACAGCATGTGGATACTGGAGAAGTGAAAATGAATTATTAGTTATAGGTAAAGTAAGTGATGTTAAATCTTCTTCTTTAATACAGTGAGGTGATGACAGCAAATAAGATGCTATTAAACAAGCTCAGGACAGAAGAAGATCTATTTACTATATGGATACCACTTTTCTTCTGGATTAAACTTGTTCTAAATTCACAATCTGTTATTTCTGATGATGTCAGTGATGTTACCTGAGAGATGGGTCTGTCAGGGAAAAAGGAGTAAGAGGTGGAAGAGCCAGTGAGGATGTCCAGGACAAGAGGGTTGTCTGGGTCTGCCACCATGCTGGAAGAGAGGGCGGCATGTTTAGAAAAGTGTTCCTGTGGTTTGCATTGTGGCGAGTTGTACATTTAATTTTTGAACATTAATAAACAGGTGCAACATCAAACGCCGTCTTTCAAAAGTCTCTGTTACAGCCTAGCACAGTAAAGTTAAAGTTAACCTAGTGAGGTGCTGCTCAAAGTAAAAAGTAAAATTTGTAAACAAGTAAAACAGTGATTCATTATTGCTAGAAATCTCAGCACCCTCCCAAGTTCAGTATATTATAGTCATTTAGTGCTGCACGTGTTACAGATGACACTTGGACGTTCCAATTTAAACTTCATTTAGTTGCACTTACCCAACACCCTTGAATAAAACTGGTTTATTGGTGGGTTTGCCGACGATAGTGGGAGCTTTCAGCAGGTTCTCTGGGTCAGCGACAATCAGGGTGTGCTGCAGACAAGAGAGATCACTTGTAAATAACAATGTTAAGTTCTTAAGACTGGATTTGTGAAACAAAGTTCCTGTGCCCATAGATTTCTGTTTACCTCTCCAGGGTCAGACACGTCGTAGTTGTGATGGTCGATGACAGCAGTCTTCTCCTCATCAAACTCAATGCCACACTCACTGCCCAGCTCCCTCAGAGGGTCACCTATGTAATAAGAGAAAAGCATTAATATATGACAATATTCCAGTATTTCCGATGATGTAATACTGTAGCAAAAAGCTGTTAGAAACCAACTGACCGATATCTGAACTAGCAGCAACCAGGACATTGCCTCCACCGTCAATGAAGGATGTAATAGTCTCCACATTTATATTCCCTCCAAAGTCTGCAGGTGACCACAAAGAATACATTTTACAGATTGCTTCAGCAAAGGCAAACACAAGCCATAAAACTGATTAACTCCATTCTGAATTTAAAAGAGTGAAATTTACCTTCAACTGAAGGCGCGAAGATGATCAAATGGTCATACAGGAACTGGCCATATTTGATCAGAGAGAGGGAGGGATCATCAGCTGTCTTGAATGTGACGTCAAAGCCGCGATCTGAAAAGGAGAGGCACATTATCAGCGGCACTAAAACAGTGACAGACTTATGCATCTCTGCAGTAACCTGAACAATGTTAAAGTTTCAAAGGATTGGTAACCTCTGCACTATAACTCCAAAGCTATAAGACCATTATAGACCACTGAGGGTATCTTTAAGGCGAATTTTCTGAAGTTGCATTAGCAAGCCCACATAATCATTAATTCAGAATAACATAGTAACATCCTGTTAACAACCTAATTATTCTAGTAGTACTCTCGATCACTTGCATCGGACACAAGTGGATCTTTGGTTGAGGGCAACCGCCAAATTGATCATAAAATATTAAGTTCGTCTAAAATTATGAACTATTTGGTTTACTAGAGGTATGCCGAAATGAAGAGCGTCCCCGAATCGATTCAGTGCAGTATAAGTAAAGATTACAAAAGTAAAAAGTATCTTAGTAAGTTAAAAATAAGTTAAAACTGCCAGAGACTTTAATGAAGTTTGGAGAGGTATAGCTAACATAGCACAGCTAAGCTAGCATTAGCAGCGTATCTGTGTAGCGTTAAGCTAACGTCCACAAAACCAAGTCCAAACGGCTCTATATTCCCTACCAGAGACATTTTAGCATTACAATCGGGATCTATAACACTATACAAGAAGGTATTTATAGGTTAAAGATAAGCATGCATCTCGTTCTTACCTGCCAGACTGCGGAAGAACATTGAATGGGTGTCTCTGATATTGAGGTTGTCCAGCAGAACCAACGTCTTTCCGTCGGCCAGAGCACAATGCAACATGGAGGCTAACGACAGGAATAAAAGGACATTGTTGTCCAGAAGTCTAAACCTCCTCTGGGTCATCGTCCCGGTCCGTTTATTGGATGATGATACAGAACCGGTCCGGTTTGTCTGCACGACTGCTGTCAGCGACGCCATTTTTGCTGCAGAAGTGGACGTCAGCGTTAGCAGACGAGTTAACTTTGACCCCGTGATCCAGCCAATCACAGAGAGGAACGCGTCATCCACCCTGACTGCGATTCCACCAATGGGGTGAAAGATTTATTGTAAGCCTGACAACCACGGAAGTCTCAACCTTATTTATTGAATTATAACCTGGGCCAGCAATTCTGACTTTAAAACAGTTGAGTTAGATTTTCTAAATAATTTTAAAATATAATTCATGCACGTTTGTTTATGCTTATCTAATTTGAAACAAGTTATTATGCTATATTCCTGTTAAATGCCTAATTTTTCCTAATTGAATTTATATATCTTATTACTTTATGTGGCAGGAATGCACAATTCTTAATCCCATGATATTCTAGGAATTTCCTGAGCAATGTAATATGTAAGGAAAAATCAACAGTCTATTGTTTTTTATTAAAAAAAACAACAGCGTAACACAAGACAGGTCAGACTGTGATGATTCTTTATTGATCTGATGATGACTACCAGTGCGTCTATGTAACTGATATTTAATCGAGCATCTTGTAGGTGTTAATATAAACAGACAAAATACTTCATACCAGTGTGATCAGTTTACTGCAATAAAAACAAAAGCTTTCTTGCAATCATGGTAAAACTGAGAATTGTTGACCAGTTTGTTGTCACCACAAATATTTGTTTTCTTCTATCAGAGGTAATAAGACTTAGAGGACACATCACAAATATACAAATATTACACATGCAAAGCATTTGCAGTGTTTGCCAGGACAAGAATAAATGGCATCCCACTTCTTAAATCTTTAGTACCCCTACATGTCTATGTAAATAATCTCTGTATAATGTGCTTTCCGTGAAAATACTTCAACTAAATACAATAAAATATTTCCACTGTTTAGGGGGCATGTACATATTTCACCTGAGTGAAATGGAAAAATAACACAGAGTTCTTCAAGTTATATAAGGTAAGACTGAGTTGTGATGTTTTATACAAAGGACAATGCACAATCCTGCATTTCAGTCTAAATATAAACAAACTATACATAGTATAACCATCTCTGAAAGACTTCTCGACAATATTTACCAAATCACTGAATCTCGCTCGGTTTGCTGGAATTAGGACTGACTGCATAAAACATGATTTATGACTATAAATCCTAAGATGAAATTGTTTAAAAACTGTTGTGTGTTATGAATCCAGTTTAGGTAAAGTTTGGGAGGCTGAAACTCTGAGGCCTCATCATCGACTCACTTTATTTCTTGCATTTCTTCCTCCTGTATAAATTAGATTTCTTTCACAAAAATATTTCTTACACTCTTCACAAATCTGCTCCATGACGCCTGACGTTCACATTCCAACTCCTCTTCTTTCTCCTCCTCCACCTCTGCTGCAGCTTATCTTTTCCCTCTGTTCGGAGCTCAGTGTGGGTTTCCACTTCTCCATCCTCCCTCCCTCTGTTTCTCCCTTTCTGTCCTGGGCACGGCAGATCAGTTTTCCCCTTCCTGAATGACCTGCTCAGTTGTGGGTTGCCATGTTGTGGCGGTATCCCCCTCAGCAGCGGTGGCTGTGGTGTACTGGTAGAAGTCAGAATCTGCCTGAAACATGACCAAGGCCTGAGCTGTGTGGATGCGAACGTGCTGGGCCAGGGAGCTCGCATCCAAGAATTTATCACCACATGAATCACAAGCGTATAAGATCTGCGTGTTGGGGTCTGGGAACAGAAGAAGAGTTGACATTCATTCATATTTGTCATTGTGTTTTCAAATCTACATAATAATTCTACATTTCCACCTGGACTGTCTGACAACCTCCTTGTCTTTCAGTGGTTTGACTTAGAATGAAACTAAACACAGCAGGATAGTGAATAATACCATATTTAAATTTGTTACAAGTTATCACAACGGTACACTACTTATTTGTGGCATTCATTGATTACATATGTGTACATGCAGAAGTTCTGTCAGTGTCATGTTTTAAAGAGGCTATTTGTAAGTTTTCTCTGCCGCCGAGCGTTGCTTCTTGTCGGGAGCAGGTGGTGATGGCTTCAGCCACTGTTGAGTTTACAAGACAAGAGGTTAAAATACGTCCTCAGGGCAGAATGGAGGCTACAGTGAGTCGCTAGAACCTGGATCATAAACCTTCCTAACATTAGTTTTATTATATTTCTGTTTCTTTCAACCCATACTGTTATATTTTAAATTCCCAAGCCCCTGTGATTTGCTGATTGCTTGTATTTTTTTCTAATAGTACAAAATTGTTCAAATACAGATGTCTGAGTTCACAGAGTGAGTTTTTACCTGCTTCTTGCACTTTCTCTACGGCTTTGGTGATTTCAGCTTTCAAAGCCTCTGTCTCATCTGCCGACACTGAAGCCGCCACTGGAACTACTGTAAACGGACACATGACACGAGGTAAACAAACACCTACCAATGCCTGAGCCCTTTCATCACCCCATGCTTCTTTTATTATTATCTGCAGGATTCATCAGGTCCTCGTCAGGATATTGACATTTTGAGGATGCTGTCTGACCTGTCAGCTGAGCTACGGCACTGCCTGCCAGGGCCTCGGTTGCCAGGGTGACGATGTCCTCCGTGGTTACAGTAACTATGTTGATCTCGTTGTCAGAGGTGGCCGTGCCTGCGCACACATCAGCCCCCTCGTCCGCGCTGCCCCCGGCTACGACCAGCCGCTTCATGCCGGCCTTGCCGTGGTGGACGGTCTTGACGTGGGAGCGGAGGTTGTCCACACGGTTGAACCCTCGGCCGCATTTATCACACAGGAAAGGTTTCTCCCCTGAGGAAGCAGGAGAGAACCGAAGATTTAAGGATGGAAGCTGTGAGTTCATCTGGATGCACAGAGATAAGGTGGATTGGGAAAATGTTAATGCAGCTGTTACAAATATTTTGGGATACAAAATTCCAAATAGTAGTCCTGCGTTGTATCTTGGGAACATTAAAAGTACCATGATGAGATAAGATCTCTACCTGACGGCAGTTCTACTCGCAGCAGGTAAGAAAGCTGTTATCAGAAACTGGCTGAACGTAAACGCTCCACATCAGGAACAGTGGCTGCAAACTGTCCAAGACATTTTCATCATGGAGAAGTCGACATATGTTTTGAGAGAATACGTTTAAAAAGAACTGGGGAAAAGGACCGTTTATATGAGACACAAAACTAAGACTCAAATAATATCTAATTTAAATAGTTCCATGAATATTGAGATATTTCTAAACTCCACTGTTATTTTATTTTGTATTTGGTTGTGTATATGTGTGTATATTATTGTGAAAACTCAATGAAGATTTAAGTGTGAAAAAAAAAGAAAGTCAGTCATAGTCAGTTTGTCCTCACCTGTGTGTATGATGATGTGCTTCGACAGGTCTCCCACATTGACAAATGCTTTGTTGCACATCTGACACTTGTGTGGACGGACGTTGTCGTGGTGCCGAATGTGATTGGCCAGTTGACTGGATTGCACAAACCTGTCCAGAGAGATACATCATCTGGTTTCCTGTATCATTGTATTTAAAGGGTCAGTTCTCACTTACTTCACGTATTCTTTCAGTTTATGTTTAGAATTTCATGTCAATACAAAACTGAACAAAACATGTAATTTAAAGAAACACATGCAGATACATGTGATCCGTGTTTCCCCGCGCAGAGTCAAACTTTTAACCAACGTGTTCTCACATATTTCCAGATCTCGTCCTTGCATGACCTCAGGTTATGTTTCCACGGCACAAGTGGGTTTGAAAAATGAGCCTATTATTAGAGTATCGCTGTATCAGCTCTCACCTTTTGCCGCAGCGATCACACACATAAGGCTTCTCTCCCGTGTGCTGGCGGACGTGAGCGATAAGCGAACTGGCCTGGGTGAAGGCTTTGCCGCAGATAAGACAGACGCAGGGCTTCTCTCCTGCAACACATTGGTTATAGTCTCATCACGGCGGCATGTGGATGATATCGCTGTGTGTTGCTGTCAGTCTGAATGTGCTGGGCGTACCTGTGTGGATGCGTTCATGTCGCTGCAGAGCTCCGGGGTCGCTGAAAGCTCTCTGACAGTGAACGCAGACGTACGGTTTCTCCCCGCTGTGAACCCGCAGGTGTCTCTTCAGATTTCCTAAAAAAAGCAGACACCGTCAGAGGTCAGAGGTCAAAGGTCAGATCAAGTGACTCAAAGCAAAGAAACAACTCACTTTTCACTTTTTAAAGCTCCAAGCTACATATCAGAACTGCCGCGCTTCTGCCATCGCGCCCCCCCGGCTTTGGAACGACCTGCCCGAGGAGATGAGGCGTGCAGAATCTGTGACTTCCTTTAAGTCACTTCTTAAAACTCACTTTTACAGACTTGCTTTTATGTGATGTCGTCTGCTTATTGTCTTTCTATCGTCCTTTATTTCTTAGACTATCATTTTTTTTTAATTACTTTTCTAATTGCTTTAGTTCCCTAACATCCTCAACTTCTTTGTATTGCTTTTATTTCCTTTTATTGTTTTATGGTTTTCATTTATCCTTGTTATCTTTATTTCATTCCTTATTGTTTTATCTCTTTACAAATGTTTTTAGTTTCTATTGTTTTTATTTCCTTTATCGCTCCTTCGCTTTATTTTATTGCACTTGCCTTATTTTTTATCTCATTCTGTTGCTTTATGTTGTTTTAGTGCCAATACCTTGTTTTATTATTCCTATTCCCTTTCACTGCTGACATCATCTTACATCTGACTTTGATCCTCCTGGTCTCAGGTCATGTTGTTGGGTTCTTGTGTTGCTTGCTCGGGTTCTTATGGAGTTTATATGTCGCTGTTGTTTTTTAGGGTTCTTCTGCCATTGTTCTCTTGTTTGTTTGTGCGTTTATGTCAAAGCACTTTGTAAACCCTCATTTTTAAAAGTGCTATATAAACTATTATTATTAATTATTATTAACTCCACAAGTCAACTTCCTCAAGATAAAACGCACAGTAAGTGAAAGCAGCAGGAACTGCTCCGGAGAAAATGGTCTGAAATCCTCTGAATGGTAAATATAACACTAACATAGCCATGGCCTGATTATACTATAATTGATAATTATATCACACAGTAGCTTATATGTCATCAAAGAATCTAAAGTTGAAGCTCAGTCCGTGTGTCGGAGGTGACTGTAAGTTAAATGTCAGTTACTGAGGACAAAGAATCCCCTTGTAGATTCCCACCCAGCACAAGGTCTCACATGTCAGGCGTTTGGCTCAATACAACAGGCATCTGTATGAAGAGTGAACTGGAGCTCTGTTAACAATACCGGCAGCAGCTTATTAACTTTAACTGAAATCATGTGACGACAGTGAGGCTGCAACTAATAATTGTTTTCATCATGAATTAATCTGTGGAATAAAAACATACACAACACTCTTCACAAATCACTAATAACCAATAACGTTTTATTCATAGTTTCAAATTAACTTTCTGCCTGTCAACTAATCAAATAATCTAATTGTACAAATAAAGTCCCAACTCAGAGTGAACCAGACAATTGTATCCGACAGATTAAAAGGTTCAAAGACGAGCAAGAAACAACAGCAGCAGCAGTTTCTGCATCTACCTTTTTATTTTCCCTAGTAGAGTAGAATCCGAAGCAGAATTTAGTAGACATATTGTTTAAAGTATAAACTAAGCAAAGCATTAAATCTCCTTTTTAAGAATATGTTTCTGATTTGTTCTGTGCCGCCTGATTTAATGTCTGCTGTCACTGAGCTGATCTTTACTGGTCCCACTTTAGTTCTGAGGGATCCACATGCCACCAGGACATTTCTTTGACAGGTACAAAGTCTATATACTGAGAGGCTGAGAGACTTTCACCCGAAACTAGAATTACTGCCCCGTGGTTGTTTCCTCGCTGCCGAACAGCCAAGACCCAGGAGACATAGTCACAGTCTCTCCTTCCTGAGTTACAGCATTGAATAATGGCCAGAAGTGTTTTTTTGCAGAACATTATGATGTCACGGTGAAGCTGACCTTTGACCTTTTGGATGTATGATGTCATTACTTCATTTTATCCTTAAGTTGTGTTATAATTAGTTTATGAATTTGTGAGTTAGGGCCGTAGACGTAAATTCACAAGTCAAGAATAACAGAAGAACACAGCAGTTAGTAAAAAAAATATATAAATATGTAATATATATACCTGAAGTGGTGAACTGTTTGCCACACTCTTTGCACTTGAGAGGCCCGTCTGTAATGTGGATTTTTAAGTGAGCCTTCAGATTTCCCAGCTGAAGAGAAACAACAATCAGGAAAGGTTTGGTGACAAGCGAACGCACATGGGACGAAAAATTTGAATTAAAATTATAAAAAAAAACACCTTTCCAGAAAGTTCTGGAAAAGTTGTGTTTTATGAAGACAGGTGTAACTGCGGCTGGAAAGCTAAAACGTTCACAAACACGCCGTTTACCTGGTTGAAGCGTTTCTCGCAGTGTGGACACTTGTTGCCCTTCTCCGTGTCGTGCGTCTCCAGGTGTCGCATCTTGGCCGTGGGGTCAGAAAAGGCCTTCTCGCAGTAGTCGCAGTGATACGGCTTCTCGCCGCTGTGCACCAGCTGATGCCGCTTCAGGTTTCCGGATGTGGTGAAGAGCTTGCCGCACACGTCGCAGCTGTAGCGCGCCTCACCTGTGTGACGTTTGCGGTGCAGGTTGAGCAGGCTGATCTGGCGGTAGCTCTTCCCGCAGGTGGAGCAGCAGTACGGCTTCAGAGGGCTGCGGGAGGAGACAGCAGCTCAAGGTTGAGACACCAAAACCCGACAGAGCTCAGCGGCAGGTGTCAGGTGAGATAAACGTCTCTGAATAGAAACAAATGACTCACCTGTGTGTTTTCTCGTGGGCTTTACAGGCTGCTGGGTCAGAGAAAGCCTTGTTGCAGTCCCGACAGCTGAACGGCTTCTCTCCCGTGTGAATGCGCATGTGTCTCTTGAAATTACCAGTGTGGGTGAATTTCTTCCCACAGTCCTGGAGGAAAGAAAAACACGTCACGAAGAGTGAGCTGGCCGACATTTTTAATAACAACATCAACAACCAACCAGAATCACCAGAGGTTCCTTGTTCCCATCAGCTTCGATGCCTCAGCACTAAAGAGCTGAATGTACCTGATGCCTCACCAGTTAAAAAATTGTAAAACATACTTTTATTTTATTTATTTATTTTCTTCCTCCTCTGGACACAAACTTTCTCACCTCACATTTGTGCGTCACGGAGCTGTAAGGCTTTGACTCGGACCGGCTGCTCATCGACGCTGCCTGGGTTTGTCTCCCGTCTCTCTCGCCGCTGGAGTCGCCTCCTCCCGCCTGCTGGCCGTCCTCGCCATCTTCCTCTCCAGCCTCTTCTTCTTCATCATCATCATCTTCATCATCATCAGTTCCCCCATCACCAGCCTCCCCAAAGTCGTCCTCCTCCTGGTCTTCGGCCACCTGAGCCGGCTCCGCCACCTTCTTCTCGGGTTTCGTCTTTGACGTGTCTTCATCCTCTGAGTCGTTGTCTGTGACGATGACGATGAGAGAAACAAACTGTTTAGTATCTTGACAACAGCAACTGCTTTGATGTGATTGATCATAAACTAACATGGAAACAACATATTGATTATATTAAAGAAAAATATCCAAGTCAATAGCAATTCTGTGTAAATCTAGGGATATGTTAAAATACAAAGCCTTGTATTTAATTTACTGCTCACCTTTACTTCCCTATATAACTTACTGTGCGGAAGTGTCTACCTTTAAAACGGGTTAGCCATACCTATTATTGATAAGGCTGGTGACTATGATCACACTCATCCATTGTTTCTACATTCTCATACTATGAAATGTAATGATTCAGTTTATTATCTTAAAATAAAGTTCAGAGCTAAATTAAAGTCACTTCCAGACTGTGTTTCAGCACAAGAGAGAAAATATGATCTGAGAGCTGTTTGTAAGTAAAATTATGGAATAATGTTAATATAAATTTACAAATGTGTTATTCGCTTTTGGTTTTCAAAAGAGTGGTCAACGGCTGTTTCTGAGGTTTACAAGTGTGAACAATTTTGTTTTATTTTTAGCAGGCAGCTTAAATTGATAAGAATGTAGATCGGCATATATAAGCATTTTGCTTCAGCCTGAGTCGGTTGACTTTGTTTTTTGTGTTTTTTCTGTCTATATTGTTCATTTTTACTGGATTATGTGTGATGACTGAATTAAAAATACTACTACTACTTTTAAAGCCATAAACATCTCACTGATAACTGATCAAATTCAGCGCTAGAAAATCCTGAATGTTTGTGTTTGATGATACTCGACACAGTTCGTAACCGGTGTAAAGTTTAGATAGACAGATATATACTTTATCTATCCCAGAGGGGTAATTCAAGTGACCAGCAGCTCATTAGTAATAATAACAGTTAATAATAAACAGGAATAGTTCAATAGTCCAGGTGTTCAGGGGGAAATGTGCTGTTCAGGCTGCAGCTCACCGGGTGGGAAGTTTCGTCGAGGAGGTTTTCTGATTCTTCTCCCTCGAGAGCTCATGTAGGATGAGCTGCCGCCAGATTTCAGCTGTGACTCTGTAAATCAAGAGAAAATATCTCCTTGTTTATTTGTCAAATAAAATGATCAACACATTTACAGACACTCAGGCGGCATCAGGTGGGCCTTCGACACTTGGTTTCTCTAAATAAGGACTTACTGGGCGTGTAGTCGGCGTCAGAGGGGTCGTCCTGAAATCCAGGTGCATCTTGTTCGGTGCTCCCTCCTTCCTTCTTTACAGGCGTCTTCTTCTGGGCAGAAAGGGGGCTGGTTTTGGGGGGTCGTCCTCGGCCTGAGTTGGTTCTGGCAGGGCTGGGCTGAGAAGCAGTCTCTTGTGTTTCGGCAGAGACGTCTTCCCCTACATTGTCCTGATTTTGTGTGGGCTCTTGATCTTCAGTGGGAGCGTCAGAAGGAGGCTCCTCCACTTGTGATGGCACTTCTGCTAGGTTGCCTTCCAGCTCCTCTTTCTGCTCCTTTTCACCTGCTTTTTCTTCTGGTTTGTTCAAAGAAAAATGGAGTAATGTTTGTTTTTTTTAACAGGGGGTTCCATACTTCATATTTGTATTACACTGTAAAATCTAATTAAAATGTTGGATGTAAAGCAGACTTGGTTGATATTGTAGCATAAACTGAAATAACCAGTAACCCATGTGACACTGATCAATTTTGCACAAGATGTGGAATTAAAAAACTTCATCATAATATCAGCGGTCAACCAATATGAACTTATAAACTAGAGTTCAGTCCTGTGACTATTTCTAATGACTTCAACCAACCATGGAAAGAGTGGAAATACATCTTTGTCACGAGCATTACAAACATCATCTTCATTGGAAAGATGAGGTTAAACAAATTAGGTTGTTGAGATACTTTAATTCTGAATAATTAATGTTGTTAACCTCATCTGCCCCTTTCTTAACGAGCATTAAAGGATCGATCCGGTTCAGCTCTTGGAAAATCAAGGGCACAGATCATTATGAAGTTGAGGACTGTTACTTTAAAGAGTAACAGGTGTGAAAATTTCAAGGAGGTTGATGAATTAATTATGAAAAAATAATTATCTACAATTAGTGCAGCTCTACACTGAAACAGTCAACAAAGCTATTTGAAGAAGAGACTCACCAACGGTGAAATCCAGTGTTATGAGGGAAGGAGCTGGGTTTGCCATCGACTGGTAAGCAGAGCAGGCGTTTACAATCTCTTGCATTTGTAGAAAGTTGGCAACAGCAAGCACGTCTTCTACATTCTGTGGACTTAAACTCAGCTTGGCTGTGTACATAAACTCCAGGACCTGACCCAAACCTGCAACGATAACCAGGAATACAAAAGACAGCAGAAATGATGAGGGTACATTTATTGCTATTTAAGTCAAGTGTTGGTGATGGTGGGCAAAATTAGAGCAACGGGCGATGAAAAAGGCAAAATCAATCAAATAAACAGTATGAAATCGGGAACCTACCTGCTGCATTGCTGATGTCCAGATGCACCACATCTTTCTGGTCCAAGAAGAGGGTGCGGAAGTAGATACTGCAGGCCGCTAACACAGCTTTGTGGGCCTTGAAGTCCACCCCATCCACTACAAAGGTGCAATCACACAGCAGGCCCTGCTTGCGTTGCCGATCAAGCTGCTCCAGAACTTTCCCACTGTGCCACGGGAACTCCATCGCTCTGGAGGCTTGAAGATCGTGGAGGAGGCTGGCAGGCAGGCACAGGCTTAGAGGACCACTGACAAGTAAGAAGTCACACGTGGCACATTAGGAAAAGCTCAAATGGCTGATGGTGGTGGTCTTTTATTAAACACCACCAATCAATCAGTGTTGCTCACCTTTAATAGCATAGTAAATCTATATGATATAATTCAGCTGACAGCACATACGAGTATTAACTGAGAAAAAGTAAATATTAGCAGCACCAGCCTTCAAAAACCATGTCATGTCAACATTGATAAAGTTGCACAGTATTAAAACAGTAGAAACGATCCATAAGGGTGAATATTTATCCTGAATTTCTTTTTCATTATTTCAGGGTAATAAATCACCATCTTTGTTAGCCAAAAAATGAGCACTAAGCCCAAAAATTACAGAAGCCCCATTTCTTACTTTCCCCTTTTTAAACTGGCATGTGGACTTGTTTATTCCCACTTAAAAAAATATGTAATGTTATATTGTACCAACTGTGTATTATGATAAGACTGGGGTTATTTCCATGGGTTATATTAATGCAGACAATCCTCACATTTGTCGAGGTACACCTTGCTTTGTGTTAATGCGAAAGTCAAACAAGTACTTTATTTATCTAGTAGAAACTGTGTGTGGTTTGTGCTGTGTTGTTGGTGAAAGACAGGTGTTTACATTCCTGGGTGTAGATATCAGGCTCCTTTTCCTCCAGGACACCACCAGTAAATACTGGAGACCGGATTTCAGCCACAAACTGTGCTTTAACAACCATTCAAAACATCACTAACGTTACCTAAAATACCAAATATGTGATGTACTATGATGGGAAGAAATAACGCCAGCTTGCTAGCTAGCTAAACAAGTGGCGAAATTAACCAGAACGACACTAAAATTAAGCTTCAACTGATGTCCCGATGTCCAGGCAACTAAACGGGGAATTTAAAAAAGCATTAAAAATGTTTTCTGTCTGTAAATGTAGTTTCTCGAGTTTTAACCGCTTGGTTTGACGGTGCTATATATCGATTACAATTCCTCCATCCTTGTAGCTTTGTTATCAGGGATTAATTTAGCATGCCTTGACATGCATGTAATGCAGGGACAAGATGGCGACCCGAGGAGTCGGGCCTGTCTTCATCCCTTGTTCTTTTCGCAGCTAGCTCGCTCTTTGAGCTACGTGGACGCGCCATTTTAACAGAATCTAACTCCGGAATTACCTCCTTGTTATCTCCTCTTCGCTCCGGGTTCAAACTGCTGGACCGAGCTGTGTTTACGAGTCTTTGACTGAGTTACGAAAAGCAAACCCAATCGAGTTTTTCGGTGATCGATCTTGCCTCGCTAACTCCATCCACCGCCATCTTCCTCTCTCTGATCGATTGATAGGGACCGGCCGGATGTGTCGCAGGAGCAGGCGCAGTCCGAATACGTTGTGTGGTGATGATGATGGCCGCGTGGTGGCGCCATTGAGCTACGTGACTTACATTGATAATAATAAAATTCAGATACGTCCATGTATCCACAAGAAGCACATAGAATGTAATTAAACTGATTTACGTTTTAAATTAAACTGATGTACTTAATGGTAAACCCACACAAAAATGTTAACTCATCTTTGTAGATCGAACAGAGTAGTGTTAAAAAAAAACTAATTATATAGGGATAGGATTTAGATATCTTGTTTTGATTTTGCTTATTTATTTTCTCTTCGCTTTCTCTTAATTGAATTTTCCCTAATTAAGGTCTAAATGTCTGAAACCAATTCTCTATAATGGCAGGAACAAAAGTCTGCTGTAGAAATGCCATGACTGTTATAATGTAGTTAACATTTTAAAATAATGACTATAAAATACTGGAATATGTATTATATAATACAGAGGATGTGTTCTGGCCATCTCACACTAGCATGCAGTATCCCATATTTCAATCAGTCATAAATGGAAGATGGAGAGATTTGCTTTACTGCTAGTTTTTACAATTGTTTTCAACTAGAAAATATAAATGAATCAAAAATTTTGATTTCTCATTTTTCTATTAATATTTCCATTCTTAAAGTGAAACAGCTCTTTTCCCAACTCAAAGTCCATATGTCAGGTAGAACAGGAATCAAAAGGCTCACACAGGTCAGGATGTTTACTGTCAAAGATGAAGTATTTTATTCACACAAATAATAATAATATACAATAAATTATTATTAATGAGCAATCATCAATTTTTAAAATCGAGAATTAAGTTTTAGAACACGAGTGAAGTGGGGAACTGATCTGTTAATTGAAGTGTGTCTGTTCTCGTGCAAATGCTGTACGTTGCCAACCCCCATGTCTCCGTCTGTCGTGTGCAGGTGCGGCTGCTGTGTGCGGTGAACTAACTCAGAATATAAATGAGCAGCAACAGGTGTAGTTGCGGTCATGGAGGGAGGACGTGGCGTGTCACATAGAACGCGGTGTCGACTCTCTGAGTGTTACATGTAGAATGGTTTCAGTGAAGACAGGAAATAGAGGAAGTAGCATTAAAAAACAAAAAAAAAACAAAAACACAAGAAGTCATGAGCAGGTCGTCGCTCTCTAGATCTTGATCTCGGTGCGGAAGGTCTGTACGAGCTCGTGTTTGGCCGGGTGTCTCCGTGCCCGGACCGTTAGGGTACCCTCAGCGCCCAGTGATGATGTCACTGAGGTGGGGTCCACATCCTCAGGTAGCTGGCACTTGTGGGTGAATGTGTTCATCACAGAACCGTCCTGGGCCAACTGTCAAGGGAGGAACATTACAGATGAGTTCATGTGTAGCAACTGCTTTAACTGACCCTGAAGGCCACACGCTGAAACCTTTAGGTCCCAGGTTTCCGCCATGAGAAGACGAACAACTTTGTTTCAACACCTCTGAGACGTGCAGCGCATTAGCAGCGTAAATCAGAAGGAAAGTTTCCCACCTTTTCCGCACGAACTTCTATCTGGTTGTTGGATGTGGTGACGATGACGTCCTCCGGGGAGAAGTCTCGTACGTCGACTGTGAACTGGTACGAATCCCCAAGAGCTTTAATATTTCCAGTTCCACCTGAAACCAGCACAAGACGAGGAGGAGGATGTTTTAACTCAGGAGGAAACGGGTTTAAAGCTTTTCCAATTAATGTTCATTCAGTTTTTACAATACATTACTACTGAGCTTAAATCACTTCTTTCTGGTCTGATAATCGTGTTCCTGCTGATAATTACAACAGCTGCAGGTGGAGTTTCATCAGGGACGTTTAACAGGCACTTTATTTAAAAGACTATAACATGTTATTGAATAAACTGCAGTGAATTTTATTTCATGCAGCGTATCCTGTTGCCTGGTATAGATTCCATGCTAGAAAATCAAACATGATTCAGGCTCATTATTTTCCATTTTACTGGGTCTTTTTGCACAAACAGACATAAATACACTGACAGGGTCTCCCACTGTTGCTGATCAGTGCTCACTTCTCTGTGTCACTATTGTAAACTTACCTCTCAAAAGATTTGTGAACTTTTAGTAAAAATCTCTTTAAACTGAACTTGACCTGATCTGTTGAGCATAAACAGTTTTCATTTTTTTTCCGTTCAGTTTCATTAAAACCTACTAAAACAAAAATATAACTACTTCATAACTGAGAATAAACATGTCTTCACCTTTTCTTTCGAAAACTTTAACATTAGCACCACAGCACTTTGCCTGTGTATTGTGTAATACACAACAGAATCAGTGTGAAGTCGCAGTTCAGATTTCCCTATTACGTAATTTCAGCATTCGGCTTGTAGCAAGACAAACCAAGAATTTCTATTTCCACTTTCTGTAACTTTAATTTAAGGAAACGTCATGTCTCCTTTATTTCAGCTTATAACGTTCTGCACTTCAAAGCTGCATTCAGGACTTTAGTTTTGTTTTCTCAGCCACTTGGAGCCAGTGGAACAATCTAAAACAATGTTTAACACATATACACACAGAATCATCACCTTATAAAGTAGTTATGTGGAATGCAGTATGGAAAACAATTGTCTATTTATACATTTCAGCTGTTGTGGAGAAACAGCTTTCACAGGGAGTCATTTCTGTCCAACCTGCTGAATGTAAGTTCAATATTAACCTTTCTTTTAGCTCTGTTTTTATCATAATAATAATCTTTATTTCTAAACCCATGTTACAAAGTGCTTTACACAAGGCAGCAAAAATAACAAGCAGGCAACAATTAAAACAAGCAATCAGAAATACAGCTAACTCATTCAAGCTCACAGCAATTTGAGACAAATAAAAATAATGAACCTGAGCAAAAACAACAGGATTAGAATGAAAGTGTCTTAGACCGAAGGTTGTGTCACCAGCAAGAGAGTGATCATAAAAATCAATAAAACCAAAACATAAAAAGTTGTCAATGAAAGCAAAAGTAGGACTACTTTTGCTTTTATTGACAATTTTACTTAATTTTATTGACTTCAATAAAAAAATAAGTAAAATCTTGTCTCTACCAACTTCTCAAAAAAATATCTGGTTGTTTAGCTGCTAAATGCTTCAGTGTGTTTATCAAAGAAGTGGATCTGCAGATTTAGGTGATAATTATCTGTGGGCTTTGATCCATAATCTGTATGTGAAAACAGGTTCATGGCAGAAAACAGGTGAGGAAACAGCAGAGGAACGTAGACCATAATTTTACAGCCTGACGCATCGTCACAACGTCAGTGATTCTGAGCTCAGTGAAGAAGAACGTGGAAACACATGACCTCACACAGACTGGAAATGAGTGTGAGAGAGAGAGACTTCAGAGGCAGGTTAGTTTGATTATGTGACATCATTTCAGCTATGTGTGTGCGTGTGTGTTTGTGTGTACTCTGGTCACCGGGCAACCATCTGGTCATTCCTTACACAGGCGTCATCCCAGATACTCTGTGTGTGAAGTCACACTGCTGGCAGTCAGTCCAGCATTCCCTAGGTAGTATGTGTGCATCTGTGTGTGTGTGTGTGTGTGTGTGTGTATCTGTGTTTGTGTGTGTGTGTATCTGTGTGTTTATCTGTGTTTGTGTGTGTGTGTTTGTGTATCTGTGTGTGTGTATCTGTGTTTGTGTGTGTGTATCTGTGTGTGTGTGTATTTGTGTGTGTGTGTGTGTCCGCTTTCCTTTCAGCTGCACCCACCCTCCAGCTCCTGTGCAGCACCTATGGGATACCAGCCGTGCTCCCAAAACAATTCTACTGAGCCCCTGACACACGGCGCACATGGAGCGTGAGTCCATTTAAAGTTCAGATGTCAGATATTCACACCGTCTGTGAACTGACGCAGAGCGGCAGTCTCACCAGCTCCACACCTCTCTGACCTGAGGATGAGGCAGGCGCTTTAAAGTGAAGCGTCAGCTGACTGAAATGTGGTTTTTAAAACAGAGAGGTGACCAAAACATGCATATTGTTTTTTCACTTACATCTGTTTTCTTTTTCATGTTTTTACACTTTAGTCACACTCTCTTAGAAACACATTTGTCCACACACACACACACACACACACACACACACACACACACACACACACACACACACACACACACAACTACACCCAGAGTCCTGTTGCCTTTTAAACACTGTCCTGCGTGTCGTCTCCCTCCTCTGAACCGTCGCCTCCGACATGTTTTATAAAAGGAGAAAAACACCACACTGCAGACAAACGGCTCCCGAGCAGAGAGATGAATCTGCTTCACAGTCGAACCTGTGACTTCCTCCTGCTGTAGCTATTATTTTTACACCACTCCTGTAAACACACAGAGAGCTGAAATTTACTCCCAAACTTACTGGAAAACCCCAAGGCGTCGCTCCCGGGCCTCATGAAGGAGTCAAAGTCCTCGGTGAACAGTCCCCGGCTTTTCTCCATGTATGGGTTACCAGAGGACGAGGATGACGATGAGGATGAAGTCTGGTGGAAACTACGCTCCGATCGATAGGCAGAGGAGTTGGTCACACTCATGGATGGCTGCGAGTGCTGGGTGAGGCAGAGGAGGAGAGTGAGGGGGAGAGAAGAGGGAGGCGGAGAGAGCTGGGGGCTCCTCTGGGAATCTTCCAGAGGCTTAAGTGTTAGAAAATAATAACACACAGCTCCTGACTTCCTTTTTTTCCTTTCTCTCCTTTTCTATTTATGTTTTCTTGTTTCTATACGGTGAGATAACTTCCCCACTGTCCTGCGGCCACTCACCCATGGCCCTTATATACTGTGCGGCCCTGTGCGTTGGTGGAGGGGGGGGGTGGGCGCACGTGTGTCACTGCTCATCGGGAAAGGCTAATAATGTTCTATATTTATCATGAGACGCACAGGAGTGATGGAGAGAAGGGTCTGTGGTCGGAAAAGTTCTGGGCATTGAAGGGCCCTGAGGTTAAGAGCAGGAGAGAGAGAGAGAGAGAGAGAGAGAGGAGGAGGATTTGATAGAGAGAGGTAGAGAAAGAGCGAGGGGGGGGGGGCAACAGTTGTCATTCCAGACACACCATCCCTGAAATAGCTTCCCTCTCCTCTCTTTAACTCCATCGCTCCATCTGGCTGCTTCCTCTTGCTTTCTTAATATTTAGTGCCACGTCTTTGTCCTGAAATCGGATCCTCACATGGTTCTGCCATTAAATGTCACACTGGCCAATGTCTTCACAGCGTGGTTTCATCTCATTAGAGGGATTTATGTGTGTCTGTCTGTGTGTGTGTGTGTTTTCATCTGTTTATTAATTTTAATCTTTCCGAAGCAGCCAACATTAAAACAAAATGATTTGCCGGATGGAGAACGCCGCGTTCTCTCCCGCCGAGCCGCGCGAAGGGAGGAGAGTGAATTGAAAAGTTGCCTGTTATCTCAGAGGGTAAGTACAGAGCAAAACAAAGATGGAAAGAATGTGCTTGAAAACAAAGCCGTCAGCAGGAGCAGGGGACTTAGTAGTGACATTGCTTTGTGGCTATTAATATCTACATGGAGAGTTTGTGATTAGAAAACACTCGCTGCTCTCCTGTGTAGTCTGTGCAGCTGATAGCTAATCCATTCAAGTACATTTAAGGGCTCTATCAGTGTTTGTGTTAATGTGACTTCAGGTATTTGACCTCTGCTTTGTCTGATTTGTATATGACGCATGAAACACACGACTGGTGACATCACAGCCGCCGGTCGTCCTGGAACTGAAATGAAACAGTGAAAAATCAAAAGGACACGCAGGTTTCCATCTTTTGTTTTGAAGCCGGTCGCCCCGCGTTACACGTGACACCAGACGGTGTTATGTGCTTCCAGTGTTATCAGTGAAGAGCTCAAAGCCCCCCGCTGGAGATCTAAATCCAGCCCAGCAACTCACCAGCTCCCTGCCAGAGAGCACGCACGCACGCACGCACGCACGCACGCACGCACGCACGCACGCACGCACGCACACACAGCTCCCTAGTAACAGCAGTAATACTGTTTGTTCATACTGGCCGTTTGCACCTCTAATGGGGCTTTCATCAGGACCGAAGCTGGCGGTCGTCTGCAAACGTCATTTGTTTGTTGCTGTAATTCCTCTATTATGTTTTGAGGGATTAATAAACATAAGAAAAGGTCAAACTAAATCTCAGCTGCTGTTTCAAAACATTCGATGAAAGTTCATAGGATTGTTTTTTTCATTTTAATTATGCAAATAAAATGATTATCGAATCGGTGGCTCCCAACCCCGGGAGTTGCAAGATCAATTTGAGGGTTCACGAGATGTTAAACTTGTTACCGGACCCCCCCCCCCATTTACAACAAATAAAAATGTTCCTGTTCTTCAACCCTTTTGATTTCAGTCATGACCTTTGACCTCCTTTGAAAGGTAACTCTTTAAAGTTTACAACCAAAAGGTCAGAACGAGAATAAGAGATACCAACGTTACAGACGCACAAACATGGTACAAATCTACCTGTTTTTTGTTTCAACTGTTTTTTATTTTATTTTTTTGGCAAAGAAAATTGATTTAACAGGTGTCGTAGTGATAAAACACTTTGCACAGGTCGAATCAGGAGCTTTCCAACAACAACAACACTGAGTCCAGCCCAGACCAAAACACAACTGAAGTAGCACCAAAGCCAAAGTGTCCCATGGTGTATTTTAAAAATTAAATAATATATGACATTTAAAAAAATATAGTCTTTCCTTTTTTTGTGAAATGCTGAGTTTTTTTTTCTCCTAAAGGTATTTATATTTTTAAATGAAAGTACTTGAAAGGAGTATGGCATTCTTTGATGGAGCTGTTTGCATCTCATTAACATTAACAGACTTAAATCCACCAGCTCAGGGTTACACGTGCAGTCGAAGGTCATGTCTTTTTTTAAATTATAAAACCAAAAAAAAATACTATATACAGCTTCATTTCATCAGAGATGTTGTTGGTATCAAACCTGAGAACTGTCCGTCTCACCAGGCTGCTATTCAAGAGAAAGGAAGAGTGATAGCAGCGGGGGGAGGAGTGGGTGTCGGACGGAGCGGTGACAGGAGACGGACAAGAGGAGAAATGAATGATGGGAGTTGAAGTATAAAGGATGGAGAGGAGCAGAAAACGCAGTAGAGACGTTTGTTGAAATATTCTTTTTAGTCTGAAAAGAAAGTTTAAAAGTTAAAGTTTTAAAGCTGTGAGATCCAGTGAGTACAGTTAACATGCATTTAAATGTCTCTCTCTCTCTCTCTCTCTCTCTTAATCTTCAGATCTAAGACATGCGTGTTGGAAAACTCAATGGAGCACAACTTCAAAGAAATGCATCATGGTCTTTTTTTCGCCACCTTAAGGCTTTCAGATACAGTATGTAGGTCACAATGAATGAGGATAAATATAGATACTGTAAGATAAATAAATAACAAGCTAATTCCACTGTATTCTCAATCTATGGATTTAATTACAATAATCAACATTCATTTAAAATGAGTGTAAAATGTTTTTTAATGATAAACTTTCTGATAAGGAAAACACCCAGAGACAGTAAAAGGAAAGAGATGATAGACTGTAAAACAATTATGTTGGAGATGTTAATGTGTAATGTTCCCAGATCATATTTACATATTTATTCATATTTAACGTGGAATATGTCCAATATTATTTATCAGAGACGGAGAGATTTTTTGAAAATATAAAATATATTTTTATAAAGAATTTGTCCTTATAGTCGGTGCAAAGGAGAAACCTCTCTCTAGTGCGTGAAGTCATTTAATGACCTCGGGGAAAGACTAATTGCAATCTTTTTGTCAAGCTCTGTTTTTAGAAGCTGCACTCTCCACTGCAAGAATGAAGCCCCTCCCCCTCCCCCTCCCCCTCCCCTGGATATCCAGTTTTCCCATCGCTACCATTTACGTCTTAAAAGGCTTTTGGCTCCAGGTGCTGGACTCTGAATCAAGGTTCAAGGTAATGTGAGCAGAGTGGAGAGCTCATTGTCAACAAGTGAAGTGATGCCAATGTCTACTTAATAATTAAAACCTTTTGAGGAGCTATAACTTATATATAACTTATAATATACTGCCATACTTCCTCTTTGGCTGTTTAAACTCAGGCTTAAAGGTCCCATCCAGTCTAAAGGTCTCTGTCCATGTGTAGTGTGATTATAGATCAGGTCTAGCTTCTATATTAACACTGTGAAAGTATCAAAGCCTCAGTCCACAGAGAAATGCACACAGCCTGTATTCAGAAACTGAACCTTAAAATGAGCCGTCAGGATTTCTGGAACTTTGTGATGTCACAACAAAGCAGTCACCAAGCCTCGCCCACCTGGACCCACCATCCTAACCTTGCAGGATTTGGTTTCTCTGAGAGTTTTACCTGAAATCTGCTATATTTTTATTTGATCTCTATTAAAAGACTCTTATTAGTGTTTTGTTTGGCTCCAGTGATGTTGGGCGCCAAAATACAAACCAAGACGTTCCACAGCTGCCGTGATGTGTTTCCATTTATCTACTTAACGCGTAACTTGAGATCACAAACTTAAAAACGAGTAATGGAAACATGTGATTTTCAAAAAAAAGTCTCAAATGTCGCAAAAAAAAGTTGGTTTTTCAGACAAAAGAATATTTTGTGGCTCCTCCTTCATCAGGCTTCAGATTCATGTTTAATTAGAACAATGTCACGAGAAAAGAAAACCCAGCTTTATTTGCTTGACATCACTCGATGGAAAAATAGACCATTAGCAGTTGTGTTTTGTCGAATTAACTAAAAGAAATTGCTTCTATTTTGCGTAAAACTGTGATGGACACTGATGTTGTCGGGGTGCATGACGAGGACAGGCTTCTGGCTGAGGTCGGGTCTTGTGTCGCTAATAGAAAAGATGTGCGGGAAGATGGCTGACCTCCACCTCCTCCACTTCCCATCACCATCTTTATGTTTCTAATTACAGCATAATTTAGGAGTACGGTCTCTAATTAGGGTACGACTGTCAGTAAACTGTTTATTGTTTAATAACAAACATAATACTTACTTACTTAATACAGCTGGTTATGTCTTATTAGTGTACTGTAAAATAAAGTGCGGCCAGTAAAATAATTGCTAATAATAACTTCAGGGAGCAGGACAGGAACGCGGGTTCATAAGAATGACTCATAAGAATGACAACATGGCGGGAGGGAGAGACGTAAGCAAGTAAATCTGATCCAGTTGTCAGTGATCCACGAGTGACATTGAGTCACCTCAAAATGTTTGAGTTTGTGTGTGAAGTCCTATCTGCCCAAAGCTCGCTCTCTCTCTCTCTCTGTCACACACATACACACACACACACACACACACACACACACACACACTTTGGGTTGTGCCTGCTTCAGCTGCTGTGTGTTACATAATGTTGCAGACAGAGGGAAAATTCCACAGTGATAGACGGGCTGAGCTGGAAGGTCGTCTCACTGCTGCTCTCTCTTGTTCACAGGCAAACAGTCAGCTCTGTGCAAACGTTCACACGGGCCACAAATTAAAAAAAGGAAAAACCTGGAAGACGATGGAGAAACAGGACGAGGCTGCTTAATTTGTCACACCTGTCTGTAGTTACACAGGTTTCCATGAAGACGAGAGACTGGGAGCTTCACTGACCCTCACATGGAAACCCTCCTCTATAAAAAAAAAAGCGCCACATTTACGCATATAATTTCATTTAAATGTATACATTATTCTGCCTGAAGTTATAATCGAGTAAAATACAAATTCAAACTTTTCCTTGAATTTAAAG